CTCTTTCCTCCTCTCCCTCTTTCCTCCTCTCCCTCTTTCCCTCTCTCCCTCTTTCCTCCTCTCCCTCTTTCCTCCTCTCCCTCTTTCCCTCTCTCCCTCTTTCCTCCTCTCCCTCTTTCCTTCTCTCCCTCTTTCCTTCTCTCCCTCTTTCCTTCTCTCCCTCTTTCCTTCTCTCCCTCTTTCCTCCTCTCCCTCTTTCCTCCTCTCCCTCTTTCCTCCTCTCGCTCTTTCCTTCTCTCCCTCTTTCCTTCTCTCCCTCTTTCCTTCTCTCCCTCTTTCCTTCTCTCCTTCCCCCTCTCTGCCTTTCTCTCCCTCTTCCTCCCGCTCCCTCCCCTTCCTCCGTCTCTCCCTCTCTCCCTCCCGGGCAGCCGCCGTCCTGCCTCCACGATGGCCTGCCCGCGATACACGTACCACAGACCGCAGTCCGCAACGGCACGAGAACGGCGGAGGTGGCGGTCCGCAGAGACAGCGGAACGTGTAACGCCTACAACAGCGCGGGCCTGCAGCCTTGCAGCCTTGCACGGGCGTGCGGACCGCTACAACCCAACCCACCCAACAAACATAACTGGTGGCGAACCCCCCCTTGGAATATGACCGACGCTCATATACATGTGGAATGTGAAAGCAGTAATAGAACCCGCGGGGGGGGGGGTCTGGGACGCTTTGCTGATTCCAACACCACCAACGCCCCCTACAGAGGTACAAAGTGCCCGTAACGCACACATCCCCGCGACCTGCCATGTCCATTTCCGCTCGTAAGCTCGCCTGCTCCATGGCCGCGCAGGCGGTATCGTACAGCCCAAAGTACAGGGCCTTATATGCCCCGATGGCGGCAGCTGAGACTCCGAAACCACGGTAAAGCGCCGTCAGGCCGCCGCTCCGCTGTGTGCTGTTCAGCGTGTCCATCACGCCTGGGGGAACCGAGGTGCGAGGTGCGAGAGGTGAGAGGGCCACCAAGTGGGTCATCAGGTGAAGGGCAGGGCAGGGCAGGGCAGGGCAGGGCAGGGCAGGGCAGGGCAGGGCAGGGCAGGGCAGGGCAGGCAGGGCAGGGCAGGCAGGGCAGGGCAGGGCAGGGCAGGGCAGGGCAGGGCAGGGCAGGGCAGGGCAGGGCAGGGCAGGGCAGGGCAGGGCAGGGCAGGGCAGGGCAGGGCAGGGCAGGGCAGGGCAGGGCAGGGCAGGGCAGGGCAGGGCAGGGCAGGGCAGGGCAGGGCAGGGCAGGGCAGGGCAGGGCAGGGAAGCGAAGTGAAGTGAACCGAGAGACGAAAGAGGCAAGGGAGAGAGAGAGAGAGAGAGCGCGGGGCAAGAGGAGAAAACACGAAACACACGCTGCATATGTATCCACATGGACAACACGTGTCAGGGCCGGTCCGTACCGGTCATGGCAGGAAAATTGCATGGCGGGAAGAAGCCCCAGGACGGGGCAGGCAGGCAGGGCATATAATGGGTTTAAAGAGGAGGTTTATCATGTACTCGCGGCATCCCCCCGCGCCCGCAGTCCCGGAGTCCCGGATCCACCTACCCAGCCGCTTCTTGCTTTGCCGGAGCTCCGCCGCCATCCTGCGGTGACCAGTGCAATACACACACACAGGGGATGTTATCGAAACGGGGTGTTGACGCCTTCTCGTTAGGGTTTTAGGGTTTGGACGCCATTTTTGGTGGGTGTTCGAGGGCGCCCCGCTTAAAGGAGCCCTGGAACCCTGGAATTATTCAACAGCCAACCGCTAACCGCCCAGAAAGTCAATGTGTCAGTCCATGTGGCTCCTGGAATCGGCACCCAGGCTCCACCTTTAAAGTGTAACGCAACTCCAGGAGGTGTAAACCCCCCACCCACCCCCACCCCACCCCCTGCACGTCTCTATGGCCCCCTAGTGCTCTCTCCGCACCGAATTGTCGCGAAGTCCAATGGATAGACGAAGAACAGCGCCGCTGCGCCGCCTATGAACCCCGCAGCCAAGTTCACCAAGGCGGCCTTGCCCAGGTCCTCAAAGGCGTCGTAGTGGGGCAGCGCGCGCAGCAGTGCGTCCTTGAAGGCGAAGGACAGCGTCGTAGAGGGCACGTGGCGCAACATGTAGGCGCCGTTGCCGCGCCACAGCTCCCGTACACCGCCCTCCCGTACAAGTCGTGGTACGGCTGTCATCACGCGATACCGAGGGACCTGTTGTTTTTTATGAAAGGGAATGGGGAGGAGGTATGGCAGCAAGGAGAGGATGCTGGCGTGTGAAAGGGAAATGGGGGGGATGGAGATGAAGTTAGGGAGGAGGAAGGTAGGGATGTAGTTTGTGAGCAACAGGTGGTGGGTATGTGTACAGCGCGGGCGGGAGGTGAGCAGAGTCGGCTTGGTAGTACGGGCGATCTGCGACGGGGTTGGCGTGATGTATGTATGAAATGTGGGGCAAATATGTGCTGTTCAAATGCGCAGTTGGGAATATCCTTGTTTGGCCCACGCCTACTTCTTTCAGGTGGTTAAAAGGCTTTTGCGGTTGACTGTTGACCGTGACCGTTTGACCATGACCGTATAGCACTGTGAATGCGACACCGCACATATCCGCGGCGGAGCTCACGTAAGCAAACAAGCCGCATAATTGGCAAGCTGGGCTGCAGCAAGAGCATCCCGAAAGCGCAAGACTGAACGAGTCCGCTTGTGCCCCTTTTCCACCGCGATGCGATGCGATTTGCGCTGCAAAACACCGGAAGCCGTACAGTCGGGCACGACCCCGTCGCTCCCCGTTGCGGGCAAAGTCTTACTGAGCATGCCTGACACCAATGATAAATTCAAGATGTTGAAGGGAGAGGTAGGAATCTAGAATGCACTGGTCTTGTTTGCCAATTGTCCCGACGCGCCTCGAATCCGACTGGTCACGTGCGACTTGCCTGACCGCTCGTAATGAGCGGATTGCTGTCCTGAGTTTGGAGTAAGATTTTAACTCGATGAAGGGGGTAGAACACAGTGGCGAATACACTGGACGACAGCAAAGCCGCGACAGAATCACTCAGCAGGCTCCCCGCCCTCGGATTCCGCCTTGAGCTGTCTTGGGTCGTGTCTTCATCCAACATCTCTGGCATTCGTGATGCCATGATACTGATTCGCGGTCCGTCAACTATCATCCTTGCAGTGCTGACCTCGCAAGCGCGGTCCAACAAAGTTGTACATTTTTTAGGGTGATAAGTATTATTTATACAACACTCTAGCTGGTGGGACCGCATTACGCTAACATCGTTACGTTCACCGTTGTGCCTGGCTGCTCAACTTCTCTCTGATGGAGGCGGATGGCTCGTAAGCAACGCTTCTATACTCCAGAAATCTATTTGTCAAATAACGTAGCAACAGTCTTCACATGCAATCACACGCCCGACAGAAACACTTGCCAGCTTTCGCGGGCAGGCATATATCTCCAAAAGAAGCAAGAAGTTATAGGCATCCAATATGAGGATGACTTAATGCGTACAGAGTAACACATGCAACGCGACACTTTTACTTAGGGGGAGTTGGCGTCGATTTGACCAGCTGCTTGATTATGGCTTCCCAAGCAGCCAGGCGCCACCCGGTGACGCTCCTGGCGCCAAGTGGCAGGGAGCAGCCTGTGATCCTTGTGGTTGGGCGTGAGGGCGTCAGCCTCACGACGGTCGATGGCAAGGTGTGTACCAGCAACCGCGACAGCTGAGCGCACTTCCCAAGAGGGCAATCGTGGCTTATAATTGCAGATTATCAACACCTTTGCGTATGAGACCATACGGAAATGGCTGCCGTCACATCTGCGCAGCAAGAACCCGGGGTTAGATGACTGCCTGGACATACAGGTAGAGACAGATAAGGGGCCACGTGATCTTCGCATGCGATGTGCAAGCGTCCAAGCTGTCAAGCATCTTATGAAAGATCTCAGGGACACCGTCGAGGTAAGGTGTAGGGCAAGGCCTTGTCTTGTCGAGGCGCACAACTGTTTCAGGACGCCTGCGCCACCGTGCGGGTCATCAGGAAAGGGGATGAGTTTACGTACAGACACATGGAGCACCCGGAACTGCTCTAAAGGCATTTGGGGCTAGCTCAAGCCAAACCTGCTACAAATCCACGTTGCTTTAGTGCGTGTTGGGTGTGAACGGTTACAAGGCAAGGTAGGCTTGCTCTAGGCACATACCTGGCCCAACCCCATAACCCCGCTCTATTTTCCTGCCCCATACGGCTATTTCCACGCTATCACATGGGGACTACAACCCTATACGGCTATACCGTACGGCCTCGGATGCGGGTTACCCCCCCGTACGTCCGTACGGCAAACGATGTGGGTTCTACCGTACCGTATATGAGCGTACCGAATATCCCAACATGTGGTCTATTACACGATGCCGTCATTCCGCCATATTGTGCGTTTGCTTTTGTACGTATCACATCTATGTATTCTACCCTTGGAATACAACCAAGCTGACATGGAGCATGAATGTATTGCATTATCCCATATCGCATGGCCTCGTGTCTACATGCAGTCCATCATGCGGGATATGGAGGACCGCCAAACCCAGCAGCAGCAACGGCAACAGCAACAGCAGCAACAGCAGCAACGACAGCAGCAGCAGTTGCAGGAAGTGGAGGCTCAGGGCCAGCAGCCACAGGCCATCAGGGTGAGTCGGGGGTGGTAAGGCAGGGAAAGCAATCCACGGGGAACCAAAACCTACGCAAGGGCCGGCGGGAGGGCAATACTGCGTATCGAACACGTTGGTCGACGTGGCGGGGTCGCGGCAAGCCTCTGCCTCTGCGGTTATACCGCCTTGCGGCAGCAATTCCCGGTGTCTTAGGGAGAAGTTGGAAGAAGAATGCGAATGCGAATGCGAATGGCGAAAGGGTATGGATACGGGGCAGGGTGTGGATGCAACAAGGGATGCAACAATGCAGAATGCAAAAAAATAGTTCATCCTGCCTGCTTCGGCGCAGCATGAGTTTGATTCCTCCGGAATGACGGAGGCACGGAATTCTTGGTGTTTTTTTGGTATATTCCGCTTATATTTCACCTTCGTGCGTGATTCAGGAACTGCCCTCGATTGCGGCAACCGTCCCAGTAGCCACACCGCAAAGCGGCATCATGTCCCAGCAGCGGGTCGACTTGGCGATGCGGCGCAGCAATGCCGAGACGCAAACACCCGACGAGGTTGCGCAGCCATCGCCACTGCAGCAGCAGCAGCACCAGGTGCTTGGGGGGAGGGAATGGCGGCGGGGGGAAGGGAGGTGGAGGAAGAGACGAACCACGAGCGAGTGAAGCTGCTGCCAAGGAGGAAAGTGCTGGGGAAGGGGGGGGAAAAGTTGCACGAAAGTTACGCCGACGGTAGAATAAGTCCCTCGGTCCATGTCTGGTGCCTATGGAAACCGCACTCAGGGCGGCGGAGAGGCGGCCCTTACCTTTTACATGCCGCGCGCCGTCGCGAGTCAACGTGCGTGCTTGAAACTCTCAAGGACTATAGGTTGTACACGCTGCCTGGTGATTGCGCACGGACACCGAATCGTGTGTTTTGTTAAAAATAGAAATGCTTTTCTCCTGGGCCGCTCAGTTCCATAATCCCCGCGTGTATGCCACATCATCGTGTATTTCCTAATGGCGTCGCGCAGTCGGAGCATCAAACGATGCCGCCCATGCGTGTATCTTACGATGGGGCACTCAGCTCTGGCGGCGGGGTGATGGGCCGCCACTACGCATCGACGCCGCTGTTCCTACCGGCCCATGGCGGAGGGATGGCGCAGCTTTTCGTCGCGCATCCAACGGGCGTCGCGGTGCCTGTGAACTCCCGTGGCGTGCCCACTCCGGCGCTTCTAGAAGGGCTACAGCAGGCTACAGTGCCCATCACGCCATACCTTCCCGCCAGCGGCGCCTTCGCGTACGAATTTCTCGACCAGTACGGCACCGGCGGCGGGGCTAGCATGGAGGGCGGCGATCTTGACGTCGCGGAACGCGCCCCATCCGCCGCGACCGGGTACGAGAACGCCATGTTCCAGCATCCAGGTATGCCCGTGTACGGCATCTACGCTCAGCCATCGCAGCTGCTGCCGCCGCACTCGCCGCCGCTGTCGCCAGGGATTCCTTCCGCAGGAGCAAGCAGCGGCGGCTGCTATCCGCAGTCCCTGGGGATACACGTCCAGCCGCCGCCGCCGCCGCCGCCACCCATGACGGCGCCGTCACAGCAGGTGTACTACAGTGCGTCCGCGGCTCCGCCTGGGCCTCCGCCCGTCCCGACGGCAATGCAGCCACCGCCGCATTACCAACATCCGCAGCACCAGCACCCTTTGCCGCCACAGCACCAGCACCAGCCGCACCAGCCGCAACCTCCGCAGCAGCAGTCGCAGCACTACCAGCACCCTTTGCCGCCGCAGCCACATCCACAGCTGCCGCGCTCCGGCAGCCAGCGTGTGGTGCGCACGTCGTCGGGCCACGCGGTGGGCCGCCCGCCGCGCCGCTCCGACCCCACGACGTCCACGTCCCCCGTCCGCCGCCGTGTGGAATTTAGCGGCTTAGCCCAAGGCGCCTTGAGCGACAGCGAGCTTAGCGACACAGTGGGCATCAGCCATTATGCAAACTACGTGTCCGGGACCCGGTCTGGGTCAGGGCCGAGGGCCGAGGCTGGCGGAGTCAGCACCTCCAGCTCAGAGCGGGACACCGGCAGTGGCAGCAGCGATAATCCACGTGACCATGTGCAAGGCGGTGACGCCGGCGGCGAGGGTACGGACCTGCAGCTCCAGGTGCGGTTTCTGGAGGACCTGGTGGCGAGGCTCTCCGCGGAGGTGTCACGCCGCAGCGTCTCGCCCGAGCGCGCCTCCGCTGCAGCGCTAGCGCTGGCGGGCGCACCTGACCCTGTAGCGGGTGGTGCGGCCCCTGAGCTCGTACCTGCGCCAGCGCCGGTCCTTATGCAGACGCCTGGGCCGGTTCCGCCACCGCCGCCGATGGATTACGAGGGGTTACTGAGCGCCGACGCGCTTGGGGCCGCGGCTGTGCTCCGAGACCAGAAGCTGCTGGCGCCGCTTCTGGCGGCATACGACTCGCGGATCTCCCAACTGGAAGCGGACCTGCGGTCACGAACGGAGCAGGTTCAAGTGCTCAAGTCGCAGGTGAGGGACTGGGGAGGCTTAAGAGGGAAAACTAATAATAACCACCTTAAGGTTCAGGTCCTTTAAGGTCGAAACGCTGGAGCCCAAGTGAGTAGATGCAACTCCTGGGTCACCACCTTTTTGGGAGTTGCTTGAGTGGGTGCTACGGTTCTAGTGACCAACTGATATTGCATTGGTAGATCTGACGGGATGTAAGCGAGGAAGGCGCGCGTCTCAACTGCCAAAATGTGGATGTCCGAGCGGCCACTTAACTCAGCTCCGCCAGCCCTGGAACACTACCCCAAGTAGGTCAGAGAGTACCCAAGCCAAGAGGGTAAGGTGAGGGTATTTCGGTATTTGGGTAGCTAGGACAGCTACTGTAGGAATATGCCCTGAGTACGCCGTGGCGGAGGAGATCATGTGCTAGTTTGTTGTTGTGAAACGGACGCAGGCGGAAGCTAGAAGGGGGGACGTTGCTTTCGCCACGTCACGGTAGGGATGCAGGGGATTGATGCCAAGCTCGGACAGCGTCGTCCGCTGCTCTCGCCATTTGCAGCGTTATCTGACCAGCGGTATCTGTGCTGCGCATCATGGTTTGATGAACGAACGAACTGCCTGCACAGGTGGATGACGTCGTGGAGGAAAATGATCGTCTTCGGACCGACCTGAGCACAGCGTCGGAGGCGCGTGACGCCGCCCTGGCGCAGGCCAACAGCGTCGCCGCAGCGGCGGCAACGGCGGCAAACCAGGCGGCGGCAGCAGCCGCAGCTGCCGGCCCTGGCGCAGCCGCCATCAGGAGCGAGGAGTTGGAGTTGCTGCGCCGGGAGAATGAGCTGCTACTGACGCAACAGGTGTGAACGGGGAGCTGGGGGCCACGGGGAGCAGACCAACCGCTGACGATTGCAGCAGATACCAGCGATAGGAGGATGGGGGAAAGACGAACCACGAACGAGTGAAGGAGCTGCTGCCAGGGAAAGAGTGTACAAAGAAGTAAAACTGACCAAAATGCGTTCTTGAAGGCGAGGATGGGGGAGGGGGGTTGAAACGCAAGCAAGGCAAGCAGAAGCAAATCCAGACGTGAACTCGTGACTGAACTCGTGAAGATGAGTGCCCAGAACGAGGAGAGCACCGCTGCCGCATCTGCCAACGTTGCGTTTGCAACACGGCAGTCCGGTGTTTGTGCATTCCTGACGTGATGGTGCAGCATGACGAAATATGCTGGAAGTAGGCTAAAACGAGCTTTTGAGCATTTAGGGTTTTCCCGAGGCTGGAATAAAAAGAAAGCGCGCCACTGAGGGGTTTCAGCACAGGTCGAGATGTAATAACGCTATTTCTGTTATGCTTATACATGTTTCCTCCCATCTTAAGCACGCTTTTGCGTGCATATGTACGCAGTGCATGAACCGCCCTTTTATTCTTTGACTGTGTCCTGCGTGTTGGGTCTTAGGGCAATTCCTCCTTAACCCCCTCCTCCCTCGACGTGTCTGCGCCTCCTCAGTCGGAGATGGATGCTGAGATCCAGCGGCTTCACCGCCAGCTGCAAGAGCGGGCACAGGAGGTGCTGCGGATGGGTCAGGAGCAGTCAGCCCTGATGGCGCAAGCGCAGCAAGCAAATGCCAAGGCGCAGGTATCAGCATGCGGCGGGAAGGCGGGGGGAGGGCAGCGCATTTGCCGGAAATGGATAACCACATGCGGACGTGGGGATGACGGTAGAGACCGGGGGACGTCCACCCGCCACTTACCTGTGAAGGGCTGTGAGGCGATGGAAGCCATCACGTGTACCTGTATTGTAGAGATCAGATCATGAAGCTGCAGGGCGACCAGGTTTGATAAATCATCAAGTATTGCTTTATGGAAGGAAAGGAACACAGAGGTTTCCTTATGGGAAAGGAGGAGGGATGAGGAGGTATATATATTGGCTGTTGAAAGAACCGCGGTAAGCCGCGGAGTGCTTGATGGGAAGATGGGTGGTGTCAGGTGCGGGATGTTGTTTGCGGGTGCTGCAGGAGGCGGATAGCCGTGCTGCCAAATTGGCAGAGGCGCTCCGGGCTACGGAGGCTAAAGCGACGGCGCTGGCAACCCAGGTGTCGCGCAGCAAGGCCGCGCTGGATGAAGCCAATGCTGCGGCAGTTACCGCCAAGGTACGCGTGTGTGCGCCCCGGGGTTAGGGCCGGGGGTTTGATGGAGAGGAGATGATGTGCAAGGTGTGCTGATGAGAAACATGGTGAGTTGGAAGGTGCAAGGGTGTGCAAAGCCAGTCATCGCGCCATGCACCGGCTCTTTTACGTTGTTTTGTGTCTTTCCCCGTCAACCCCAGCTCCGTTCCCCTCCCACTACAGTTGAACACGAGCACACGAGGTAAATATGAGCACGCTGCTTGCCATATTATGGCTTCGGATACGCATCCTTGCGTTTTATATTAATATTTGCAATCAACTTTTATCTCCCCTGTATTATATTACGGCTTTTGGGGGTGCGCGCAATCGCAGGCGGCCCTTGACGAGCTTCGTCACGCGCACACGCAGCTGCAGACCGAGGCGGCTGCGGCTCAGCAGCGCTACAAAGTGGCGTCCGACGGCGCTGCCAGCTTGCAGCTGGAGCTGTCTACGTCGAGGGAGCGTGCAGACGCGCTGAATGTTCAGGTGCGCCACTAGGTTTTACTAAACTAGCTAACGGGACACGGACAGCGGCACCAGCACCCATCCCACCACACGATGCTCGGTCCCTCATTCAGATCCCCGCAGCACCCTACTTCCAACCCCGCTTTTGTCACACTTCCCTCCGCGAAACTGCATTTACATTTCCCCGCTTACCGCTGCTGCTGGTGCTGGTGCTGATTTCAGGTGTCTACCCTTAACCGCGAGTGCGAGACGTTGCGCTCCGCGCTCGGAGGAGTGGAGGGCAAGCTCACGGAACTGCAAAGGCGCGACGCGGATGTAAGCGGCCCTCGCTTGGGCTTAGAATTTGTGTAGAGGACTTCGGGGGTGCCGCACAGCCCCCCATCCCCCGGTTTGGACAGATACGCGCCTTTGTGTGTATGGTTTTTTGATAGATAGAACTGAGCCGCTAGAGGACAGGAAGGCAAATTACAGGCGAAGGCTCAAAACTGAAGCAAAAGCAATTTTGTTACGTGGTGTCCCTCCATCACGTGGAGTCTCCTCACGGAGTTCGACATTTCCGAGCATTTTCCAACTGACTCCGGCAGCACACCGGCTGGAACTCCTCCCCTTAGCTGCACCTTTTAGCACTTGGGTTGCCCTTACACACGCAAGTTGCCCAGCTACAGCTATCGCGGCGGCGCCATCCTCCCCTCAGAGCCCCCGCCGACCTGCTCTCGCGTCGCACCATTTGTGCCTGCAGTTGCAGTGTTTTTTCTATTTAACCTCAGCCAATAATCCCCTGCATTCATTCTTCCTCTTCTTCCTCTTCTTTCTTCCATCTCGCACCTTCTTCCCGCCCCGCACCCTCTTCGGGCGCCTAGGTATGGACCCGTGTGAAGGAAGCCATGACAGCTGCGGAGGAAGCCCGGCTTGCTCGCGACACCGCCCAGGCCCGCTGCATGGACCTGGAGCGCCAGGTGGAGCTGGCAAACACGCGACTGGTCACCGTGCGCCAGGTGGGTAGCAAAGTATCATCATCGCCTGGTTAACGACCGGGCATGGCAAGAGCTACGTAATATCTGGATATGGGATGCAACGATGGCCCTTTCGGCTTCACCGCACAGTGATTCAATCATTCAGAAGTGGTACCTAGATAGTGGATTCAGATCACCCTTTATTCCCGCTGTTTTCTTTTGCTGTTTCGGACAGTCCTAATCGCTCTTCTCGTGCAAATCCTTTCGCTTCGCTTCATTTTCTGGCGTGGGGTGGCATTGACTGTGGAATTTCAGGCAGCTCGCGACGCGGTCGCCGACGAGTTCAACGCACAGATCAACGCCGCGCAAGCCGTCACGGCGCAGGTGAGGGGCTACGACCAGGGCCTAGAGTCCAGGCGCTGCGCTAGCCACAAGCTGGCCAGCGTCACTGCTTGCTTTGCAAAGTTGTTCTCCAACAGTGGGCGAAAGCGGCTTGCGGCTGGGCTGGGCAAGGCGGGCTCCCGCCGGCTCCATCACCGTAAGGCGTGCATGCTTCGGTCTATGCATTGCACGTGATCCTCCGCTTCCAGGACAAGCACAGAATGTCATTCACGCTGCATGGAATAGTCGCTCAGGGAGCCTCGGTTTCTTGCGTGGCCTTGCTCAGCATCTCTGCAGCAGTCGGCTGATAGCCATCGTCGCCGCGTTATGTGTTCTTCCCCTTCCTTGGGCAGGTTCGCGAGGAGCTGGCCGCCGCGCAGGCGGCTGTGACCGAGTGGCGTGCCCGCGCGGAACGTTTGGAGCGGGACCAGGCCAGCATGACGGTGGGGCAAGGCCAGAGGGGTTGCGGGCGGGGCTTGAGTGCTGGGCGGCTACCAGCGGGGCTGGCTGTGCGGGAGGGGCTTGGGTGGTATCGCAGCTACAGGGTCTCTCTGGAACCACAACCGCCGATAGCGTGTGCGGTTTGGGCAGCCGCGTAGGGTCAGGGGGGTCCACCATTGGTAATGCTGTTAGGATCAGCTGTACATACGTTGGTGGAATGCCCCTGGTGGGGGACCAAGCCGTTGTGGTTAAACATTGCGGCGCCGAAGCCCGCAGGTCCAGGTTTCCACGGCATAAGACTTGGGGTTCAGGCAAGGGAGTTCAGGCAAGGCACAAAGGGCGGTGACGGACGGACATCGCTGCCCAAGGACGGGCATGTTTAGTGCTTGCTGTGTCCGCTGTGCACGCGGATGCTGCATCGATAATAGCTGGGAATCTTAACAACTATACACAAAGTCATAATCGAAGCGTGCTGGGCAGTGGGAGACCATGTTGGTCCGTTGATTCAGAGGAAATTCTGCATTATCACATTGCCGCAAAGTGAGCATAGGTAGCACCGCGGCCGCATTATGCCCGGCTCTGCACGTTTTGGTGTTTTGTGTGTTGCCGTTGATCAGGCGGAGCTGGCGGCGCTCCGAGAGGATACGGCGGCGGCGCTGGCGTCCAAAAACCGGCTTGGGCTGGCTTCACTTGGAGCTGTGGAGAAGGTACGGGCCGGGATTGGGTCGGCTGCTGGCGGCACCGTAACGAGTCGGAGTTGGGCAGCTGTTTTCCGTAATTTGGAGGGGCACGGTCACCGCCCGCCTGCCCACCGGTCAGGGCCCATGGCCCATGTACCATAACCATATATCTCTATAGTGCAGCTGCATTAACCTGACTGCTACTCGAGATGTGGCTCGCCGTCTTGAGCCTGCGTCACTCTTCAACTCTCGTTGCCCCAAGCGCGAGTTGTCCTCTGCACAACTTTGAATATGTATTGGCACCTTCTTGAACAGGGGGTGCGCCGGGATCCCGGTTCGATGTGTTGACCGCCGGTTTGTTCATCTGCTTCTTTATGCCTTGGCGTGCTGGGGGCCCGCTTCTTGTTTTACGAGGCAGGTCGCGGCTGTGGAGCGTGAGCGCGACGAAGCTGTGGCCAAGTTAGAGAGCGCGCAGCGGAAGGCGGAGCGCGTGGCTAGGGACGCCCAGCTAGAGCGACAGTCAATGGAGGTGAGGGTGCGTGGTCTCAAGCGAGAAGTTTTGCTTTACGGCCAGCGTAAGCAACAGGACAAACACAGTAACGCAACGGCGTTGAGCTGCGGCTACAGCTTCCGCGCCAACGAGATCGATGCTGCGGTAATGCTGATGCAGTGCTCCGGTTTCTCTCTCTGCACCTATCCTGTAAACGAAGTGTTTACGCATCTTCGTGAAGAGCATGTGGCGATGTGGGGTTCTTGCCGTCACTGCTAAGGCGCGTGTATACGAGGGATCTGGGGTCAAGGCAACCAGGGCACTGCAAACCGGGGCCCCGCCCAACAATATTCTCTTCTCCTTTGACTGTGAGTCCTATGACTCCAAAGCCCTAACTTCTCATCCAGCAGCCACTGTGCTCATTTACTAGTGCATAACACATCCGCTCCTACCCGCGTCGAACCCACCAGCATACTCTCCGGGGCTTGAAGTCTACAGTAGCTGAGCTGGAGACGAACCTGGCAACGGCGCGGGCGGAGGTGGCCAATGGCAAGCGCCAGCTGGAAGCGGCGAGTCGGGAGCTCGCTGCCGCGCGTGCCGCTCGGCAACAAACGGAGACAGAGCTGCGGCAGCAGGTGCGGCCGCCCTGGACCCCCTGGACCCGTCCTTTCGCTTGCAGGGTCAGCTGATCAGCAGCAGGCACAAATATAAATATAAGATGGTTTGCGGACTTTCATATGCCACTTAGGGGCCTAGGGGGCCCAGTAGTCATTGTCCCCGCCCGAGCCCGAGGCGGCGGCACACGCAGGCCTAAAGGACGCCGCTGTGGCGGTTGCAGGCCGCCGGTAGACTCGCAATGCGCTGGCGTCTGGCGCCTAGGGCCGCGGCCTCCCTCACCAACGGGTTACGCAAGGGAACAGGAAAAGGGGCACTCGCTCCAGGTTTGGTCCATATCCAAGGGACGCTCGCCCCTAAGGTTACTTCCTCTCTCCAGCTGTGACGACCTAATAACATACCAGCCTAACAGTGTTGACCCGCGGCGACAATGATTTGGCCCCGGATTTGGCCTGCCTGCCTGCGTGCCTTGTTCAGCTTAATCCAATAAACCCGAGGCATCTGCACCTTGGAGCATATTCGAGCCAGCCAAAGCTATACGTTTCGGCATAGAGTGCTTTCTGACACCTGAGCCAGCTCGCGAGCGGCCTCTGCTGGATGCGGGGTGAGAGGACAGCCTGTCCTGGCACGTCGTCCTCTCCCCAGCTCCGTGGCCTCTCCTTCCGGGCTTTGCTGTTTGGGTGTTCAGTTTTTCTCTGTATTATTTCTAAGTTTGGGTGGCTTCCCGCCCAACATTGCGTAGCATAAGAAAACTCCACCGCGGCCTTCCCATGCCCACCTAAACCCAAACGCGGACCGCGGCAGATGGCAGCGTTGCGTGCCGAGCGAGAGGCCGACATGCGCGCCTTCACAAGCAAACTGGAAGCCCAGGCGACCGCCGCCAACTCGGCGGCTGCGGAGGCGGAGCGGTTGTTATCCAACAAGCAGGAGGTGCTCGCCCGGTGGCGTGAGGAGGCGCAGACGGTGAGAGGCGTATCGGTGTCGTGGGAGGCGGGGACATGGACCAAACGCATCCCTTGGGCGCGCGCGTCGTCGCGACCGATGGACCCTCACTCGTGCAAGGAACGGTGGTATGAAACTTGTGAAATGCAACTGTACCTGGTTGGCGCCAGACAGCGCCGACTCTGTATCACCTACAGGGCCAACGGCGGCCTACAGTTGTGCGGCATATGGAAACGGTGTATCGGATTAATAACTGTCGTCCATCTAGCGTCTTACCTGCCTGCGTTCTTCCAACAACCGTCTGGGACTGGGATTGTGACACCTGCCTGCCTCCTCTGAACCCCACCTCTGAACCCCACCTCTGAACCCCTCCTCCTCAATCCTGTATACGATATCTTAGCCCTAGAAGCCCCTGATGATATAAATACACCCCTGTCACCATGTAAGCGCTAGTGTCCTTTCCGCATTCCCCTGTCCTTTCCGTTCCGTTCACAACTGCGACCGCGGCCGCCCGGGATCCGCAGCTCGCCTCCCGCATGGAGGCCGCGCTAGCGGAGCATAAGCGCGAGGTGGCTGCCAAGGGCCACGAGGCCGCGGAGCTTCGCAGCCGCGTGGAAGCGCTGTCCGCTGAGAATGTGGAGCTGGCGGCGGCTGTCAGTGAGCTGGAGGGCAAGGTGCGTAGTAGGTGCATAGAGGGCCAGGAACGTTGCGAGGATCTGTACGTTTGTACGTTATGCGTTCGCTTGGCTGTCGCGTAGGCCAGGGGTCGTGGGGCGCCCCTGGCCTGTGTGTTGGCTTGCCTTGGTTTTGTCGTGAACTGGTCCGTGCCCGTGCTGCAAACGCACACCAGCCATCCGTCGCTTGCAGCTCCACACGCCCGAAACAGCGCCGCTCCGTTTTGAAGCAGTCCCCTGTGATTGCTTTTGCAGCTATTGCTGCCATTACCAATTCTGTTGCCGTAGCTGTAAGGGCGCGTTCAGTATCCGCGGCGTAACTTGCGTTCTCAGAGCCCTACCTAGCCCAATTTTCTCTCGGCCACTTCATCCTCGGTGCCCATCAACCTGTGTCCCGCTGCTTCCTGCAACGTCGTGTTCTGCCCTGCCCTGTCCTGCATTGCGACGTCTCCACTGCAGATTGACGACCTGAACAGCCAGCTAGCGGACGCAGACGCTCGTGCCGACGCGGCGGCGGCTCAACTCATGAGCGCTACCAACCGGGAGGCGGAGCTACAGCAGGAGCTTCGCCAGATGCAGATGATGCTGGACCGGAGCCAATTCGAGAGGAACCGCATGCAGCGCGCGCATGACCCGCTCACCGCGAAATACGACGCGCTAAAGAAGGACATCCGTCAGACCATTTCGTCTTCGGTGCCCGCGGCTGCGGCAGCAGCGGCGGCGTCGCCTGCCGGCGCCGTGCCACTGCACCTGTCTTCGCACATCCTCACAACTAGGACGGGTACCAGCACAGGCGGTACTCAGGGCTGGGCTGGGTCGCCGGACGCGGTGGTCCATGCGTCGCGGGCACCGCGGGGGCATACCCAACCTCACCACACACATTCGGTCGCGCCGGGGCGTTAGGCCACGGCGAAGTACGCTTGACGAGGCGGGGCGGAAACCCGTTTCAAGCGACCTTCAAGCAAGACAACGAATTTTAAGTACTTTATCAAGGTGCCTGTTAAGGTGCATAGGTGGCAGTGGGTGTAATGCTTTGTTTGTGCAGCGTGCTTTGTGGGCCTCGTAACGTTTTTTAAGGGCGGCGTGCGACGAACAAGTGCGACAGACTAGAATTCCATCGAGCGCGTTGCGGCAACGGCGACCGCCCAGGCAAATTCCGTCGCAAACCCGTAGCCTGCAAATGATTTTTCTGCGGTGGCAACAGAAGCTCCAAATGGGGTGAACAGCTGTATGGTGTACGGGGTTACAGGTTTTACGCACTTTTGACTACACGCACGTATTTTTATCGGGCAGTCACCGCAATCGAGATGATCATCCTGCTGTGAGCCCGCAGTCTGTAATGCTACTAAATCGGCTACCAGCACGCGTAGCATAACCGCTTGTGAGCTGTTTTTGTTTGTAATGGTGGGCTTGCGGCCAGTTATAACCTGCGTGCGACATTCGAACCCAATGGCGGGCCGCCCACGCCGGGTTCGACATGTATCTGCGTTGCCTGGGTTCCAGGCAGATCACCGTTTGGGCTGCTTTGTATTGCTGTTTTTAGCTGGTTTGCTGGTGCTTCCATCCATTCATGCACGCGCGCTCATGGACTGGAACGCTTGCTGGTCCATCGCTGCGCTTTGGCCCGCGGGGAATCAACTTCGGCGCATCGCAAAAGTTTGTGGCATATGGTGAACTTGCACCCCTAGGATGTGAGTCCATTTCTTTTGAGAAAAATCTGACTCTGAGGCAATTTTTTGTAGGCGGATGACTTTATTGTTAAGGCATGGGCAGCTGGTAGGCCATACCGGACTGCGTTTTAGTAAAACGGTGCGATAAGTCGTTACGGCCTGGGCATCTCAGGCCAGGAGGTTCACTTGTCTACTTGACAGGGAAGATGCAGCGGCCCGTGGGACTATCACTTTGAACAGTCGACGGCGCGCGGCTCCTAGCTTCCTACCTCCACACGTCTACACCCTTTTCATCCTTACAGACTTTTGGAGCGAAACCAAATAACCCTGCCAATCCACGGCTAACATGCAGGTCCGAATACGTGGCGTGTTCCGGGACGCGGCCCAAGAAGTGTGCGCGCACATGACCTCTAGAAGGCCCTTCACGCACATGAACCAGTGTAACACAAGCTTCGGATTTTTTCTCGCCAAGGAAAGCATTACTATAATGCAAGGACGCCACGGACACTTCAATCTTTTCTTTGACAGTAGTTACTGAAGGCTTCTCGTATGACATCCAAAAGAAGCTTACAAAGGAAGCATACTAGGACTATTACGGATTTATGCATCAAAACGATCATTGTTATAAGACAGTAACCGTTTCTAAATTGGCCACTCAACAACAAGTTGGTCCATACAAAACACGCACAGTAGAATTAGTTCGTTCACGTAGCATCTCCAAGGCGGAGCCGCGCATCAGCAGGTTGGTTGCTTGTTACTCCAGGGTTCATTCAATGTGCGGCCTTGGGTGGTTCGAGTTAAAATGATAGCATGATTCGAAGGACGTCCTATATATTGCTGTGCTTCACTTAGAACGTGTGCCAGCGCTTGGAAGTGAAACTGCAACCCTGTCTCGGCACACTTAACGTTAACCCAAGATTGCGTTTTTGTTCTAGGCTGCCTGCGTTGCTTTGAAGCAGGTAAACTACTAAAAGGCGGCAGTTGAAGCAGCAGCGTCTGCAGCGGCGTGTAGGGCGGTTGGACGCTATGGCCGACCCCGAGCAGCAGCAGCCACAGGTAACTTGCTGCTTTTAGTCGCGTGGCCGGGTTTCTATCTATGTCATATTGGGACATATCTTGGTTCCGCAGGAGAAATCCGCAAAGGATGTTGAGAAGGAGCAGGAGGCGATGCTTATGGCAAAGTATGGCGGCCTGAAGCCAAAAAAGAAGCTCTTACCAAAGGTTGGAATGTCGAGATCAGAACTGGTTGCAGTGGGTGTGCTGCCGTGGGCGTATTGCGTTGCTTGGAGTGCCGCTTTATGCTGACCTGTTTGGCCTACCATAATGCATGGATGTAGGACCACAAATTCTTCGATTCCGCGGACTGGGCTATGAACAAAGAAGCGCAGAAGAAGGGCGACAAGCCTCCAGTGCCCGATCAGCAAGAGACGTTGCCTCCAAAACTGGAGCCAATGCCTATTCCTTCACGGCGAGTGAGCCATCTTGATCCCCTTGACAAATAATGCAGCTGTAGCGACTTGTCCAGAAACTGGAGCTCGAGGACGCCTTTTAACCTGAGCGTTTCGTCCCCAAATATTTGGGTGGGAATAGGAGGCGATGAGCGGGGGGTTTAAGGGTGGGGGGCGTACATAGATGCCAAAACCCATTCGGCCATGAACGTGGGCATTGGCGTGCCATAGAAGACGGATTGGGTATGACTCTGCCCATTGACGCGTGCAACCGTACAACTGTCAGGAGATAGTAAACATACATGTGCCATCAAGTGCGCAACGGGCAGCGTGCACAATGTGTGATGCCAGCCCAGGATGCTGGACATTATGATGGGTTGTCTTTTGTGCGCGGTGGCTTCGTCGCCTAGGCGCTGGAACGCGTTGGGGTACGTGAAAGCGTCCTGGATTTGCAGAGTCCAATTGTTCTGGGGGACTACATTGATCGCACGCCGCCTTAAGGCATGTATGTTAAGTGTGTGTAATTAGATACGATGTCCACATGTATTGACCTCGGCGCATCGAGGTAGTGACGTGCGAGAAACCTGTCGTGGGGTTTCCACTGATGAATTTTTCATGGCCACTGTCTAAACTGGTATTGCACACAGTTTGTGACTTCCTTCGCGCAAGATGGCGCTTTTTGGCACTTGCACTTATCATAAGCAGGGAAGATGTGACTTCGCGAAACTTGTGGCAACACGTGTACAGTGCAGTAGTGGGAGTTTGGTACATATCTGCCGGGGTACAAGAGTACACCCAGTCCTGGATGAGGAGAGTGGTTTTTAGTGCCTGCATTGACGCAAATCTCCCTGTCGCTATGTAACATGTCAATCAGGGGCAAGGGAAAAAAAGCGGTTTACTAATGGTCTTCTACTCATGTCGTCGTTTGGGCCGTAGGTATTGCCAGCTATGTGTGAGCCCAGCGATGGCATATCACACACCATGTGGGGCACTGTAAATGGGCTAAATAGGTATGATGGAAATGAAGCCCAAAGTGCTTCACGATCTCGGCCGGGACATCTTGCACAAATTGCTGCATTCGTGGAGTGCACCTCTCTACGGTGAAAGTCTCTAACCTCTTTCTGCCACTTTCAGATTGTTGCGAGATGCACGCCACGTTATTCATTGCTGCTTTGCACGCTGAGATGTGCCAGTGAAAGCTATAACCGAGCTGTAGACAGAGGAAGGCAGGGCGACATACTGAACTCCAGGACACGAAGGGCACGTGCATATGTCCACGTCTCTGGCCGAATGACACAATTATCAGCTGTCATGATAACCTCGTGGTGGTTGCAAGGGAGCATAACAAGGCAGCCGTTAACTCCAGACCGCTACATATGGCCGACAGCGGCCTCGCTCCTCTCCAACCGTACTATGTACAGCCCTCTAGAAGTACAAGCCCGAAACACATCTGGAAGGCACGCTACACAAGTGAAAGATTCCACCAAAGCTGCTCTACCCGCTCAAGAGTGTACTGTACAAGATGAATGCTGCAAACAACCCATGTAGAATTGACTTGATTTTATCGGCAGGCCTGGCGATGCATGAGGGACAAGCAATAGCACCCGCGTGCATGGAAATGAACGAAGAGTGAACCTCGTGCCTGCAATCAAGGCAACCCAATGTGGGATTGTAAGAGGCCCCACGGCATGCGGTGTACGCTAAGCAAAATTGCCCTGGTGCCAAAACAGCATATAGCCGACACCCTCTAAACTCACACAAAAAAATCCGTACCGAAGGTTGCCTCCCACTCAACGGGTGCGCGTGCCCCGCGCTACTCGCCTTCCAAGATGTCGGGCAGGCCGCCGGCGGGATACACCTCCAGCACACATTCGACAGCGCTCACAGTCACGGCTCAGTAAAGGGGCTCATCCCAGGCGAAAGCCCCCGCGGCACAGCAAGTAGGTCACAATCAGCTACGCACAACCACGCTCCTCTCTCGGCAGTTCGCACGCACAGCACACCGCAGCAGTGCAGCACGCCTCATGCCTTGTTCCGCATGCGGTTCAAGAAGCGTGAAAAAGCGTCCCAGTTGTCGAACATGAGATCGCCCATGCGTAGAAACGTGACCTGCGTGAGCCGCCCTGCCCGCGCGCTGCGGCCAAACGCACTCTCCGCGATCCGGTCAAACGCGTAGTCGTCGTAGCGTTGCAACGCGTTTTCGCCCGAAAGCGGCACCCCGTACTCCTCCGCAGCCTCAATCACCTGCGACGGCAACGGCCAGACGGTAGCGCCAATAATCATATGGACAATTCGGGAAGATCACCGCCCACCTCACAGCCCATGGCTCCAACGTCCAGTCCAGCCCTCACCCAACACCACCCCAGCCCATTAACCTTACCCCCCCCCCGCAAAAGCACTAACCCTTTCTCATGACCCCACTCCCCGATACAGGCGCACCTGCTGGAGGAGTATCTGTGGGCTGCATTTGGCCTCCTCGGGGTGCTCGCAGTCCCGCATCTCCACGCACGTGAAGCTCAAGGAAGCGTCGTGCCGCCGCAGCATGGCCATGAAGGGCTTGTACCCGTTCCGCTCATGCGTGTTGTAGTAGCCCGCCGTAAGCTCTGCTGCGTGAGAGTCGGAGCGGTACCACCAGTGCACTCCCGCTAGCTTAATGCCCATCTTGACAGCAGGCGCGAACTCGTAGATGACGTGCCCGTTGGAGGCCTGAGGAGGCCGGTTGAAAAGGCCGCATATGCAACCATGACAACGGAAAACAGCACCAGGGCAGTGAACAACGCAAACAACAAACGCCGCAAGAATCGTTTTAGCTACGTAACACCTAGGCAAAGCCACCCAGGATAGAAATGCCCTAACATTTTTCCTTGCAGAGCCGCCCAGCTCCCTGCCATGCTGTGGGGGCATCCATCTCATGATCAGATCGGTCACGGTCACAGCCCACAGGCCATAAGAGTGCCCCTCCTGTCACTTACTAGTTGCTTGCTTCAATCTCGCAGGCTTTGCGTCAACCAATAAACACATTTCCCGAGGCTCAACTAACATCCCATAATCGCTTCTCAAACCCTAGGTTGCGTCTTTTTTTAACATGTCTCACACATCCCTGCCCTATCTCCGTCTTCAAACCCCCCGAAAACCAGCACTGGTTTTTTCGCCCGGTTTGGAAGACTTCTTAACAAACTGGCAACTGGCATCTAACTGACGGCCCAGCCGAGCGCCCTGCCAAGCACGCCAAGCTTACATCGCGCATCGACCGAAAGACGCGGGGTCGGCCGTGCTTGTTGAGCACCTCAGCGGCCGCGGTCAGCACCCGGTCCGCGTGTTGCAGCAACATGTCGCTGTACCACGTGAGGAAGAAGCGCCCGTACGACCAATTCCATCTGCCTTTATATGTATTGAAAAACTCTGTATCGTTGCTCCTGCTATTGTAGTGCCCGGCGTCGTGCGGCCCGCCGTGCCCCCTGCGTGCGCGCGGATCACAGTAGATACCAGTGAAACAAGGAACGATGCTTGGCGCCGAATCCTTATCTTGGCACGCAAAAATGCGAACATAGCATGCGGCCAAAGTTTCTTGCTCCCCGGGGCAGCCACGGGGCGTTACAACACAGAAAAGCCGTATGCCGCATGTCGAACATTCAATCCACGCAATCCTCTGCCATGCAAAGGTCCCCTAAGCCAAGATGCTCAGGTCCCTATGCTTACGGCCGTGGTGATTTGCGTATTCAAAAACCAAGAACCTGCGGCGGGGGAGGGTTGTGGAACTCCCCAATGAATCCCCAAAACTCCGTTGACCCCCGGACTACCCACCACTCCGGATGCCCCGCTTTGTCCGCTGCTCGCTTCAGGCTCTCCAGCATGTACTTATCGTAGCACTGGAATTCGCCCACGCCCGGAAAGCGCCATCTCCCGTCGCCCTCCGGATACGACGGATATCGCAGCTCCCCCGCTGGCCCAAGCCCGACCGTGACCTCCGTTATGACCGACCCTGCGCACCCCAAGAACAAATCCCCTGTCAGGAGGCCTTCACCAGCAGGTGCGCTGAGCATTAGGACGTACCAAACAGGGTCTGGAACTTGTTCGCGAAAGCGTCTATGAAGTCCGCGTACATCTGCACTGGCGTGCGGCCCCAGAAGAGCGGCACGTCGTCGCAACCAAGCGACAGGCACTCCCTGTTCCTGTACCCTGCCTTGTCCGTGTAGAATATGTCCAAGTTGCGCTCGCCGATTTCAAGGACCCACTTTGGCAATGAAATTTTGCAGGTATCCCCGACATTACCGCCTGCCGCGTGAAAGCTCATCACCGCCTGCACTTTAAGGCCCGCTTGCCCGACTTTCCGAAAAAGCTTTTTGTATGCACTGAAATCGTACTGCCGAGGCCCGGCGCGCTCCACGAAGCCCCACCAGACATCTACCATTACGCCCTCGACGCCAGCCTGCTTCAGCGTATGAAGCGCAATGTCCAGCGAACGCTCTTTCTTTATTACAGATGTGTTCCCTACGACCCAGACTGTGTCGAGGGGAAGCATAACGTAGACTGGACACCCAGACCCGCTTGAAGAAGGCTGCTCTGCATCCTGATATTGCGTATCAAAGCCATCGTCGTCTATTGGAGAAGTCCTGAGGCGCTGCTTTTCCCGTAAGAACCTGTGAAACTTTGGGGGTGAGTTAAGATGTGCCTACACATGAAGGCTCAAACGGACAATGCCAAGCTCGCCTGTGAATATCCGTATCCTCTTCAACCTCCGAAAGAGCGTTTGCTCCCGGAGTTGCGACAATGGGCTCCGGCGAAGAACTCCCAAAGCCAAAGTCGTCGTCCAGCGTGCGCGGGTGGGTGGTCGAGTGTGTAACTTGGCGCCCTTGCGAACGGCAAGCTCCGCTTCCACGCTGATGGTGCGCGCCGCGAAGCCTCCGAGCTGCTGCAAATGCACTTCGTAAAGGCGCAAGAAGTGTCCGCGGGCTGGGGCTCGACTTGCAGGGCAGCGAGGTCGGCAGCCTCTGGAACGGCATTTCCGCCACACCACCCCCTGGCGCCCTAGGCGAAAGGCCAGGGCGCCGAGGATTGCTGGGATAAACTACCTAGTGCGTGGCAAAGAACGGGATTACTGCACAATGAAGTCGTTACAAGCTATTCTGTTGAGGTGGGTGTCGCGGTGGCACTTTAACTTAGCTGTCCAGCTTTATAAAACACTTGTGAAACATGTAATTGCATATCCTGAAAAGGTTTTCTCCTAGCTGCTGATGCCACCGCGGCTGCGGAGCCCCAATGGACGTCTTTGCAAAGACGCAAACGTACGGCGGCCTGCCACGTAGGACTGTGTCAATTTCACCGCGGACAACAGTTCTATACGAAACGCCGAGAATGGCTTAAGCCTGGAGCGTCAGGCGGGCTGAACACTGCTGCAGCTGAAAAGTTGTCGTAGCGCTTAGGACACTGTTTGGAAACTTGGTAAAGACCTGCTTTCAGGCCAGGTCTAAGAGCAAATATAAGAGAGAATAACCGTGTTTTTGCATCCTTGCATCTGCTTCCGAACACTATGACGTGTCAACTCCGTTGGTTATACATCACACCATGACGACAGGTCCAATAACAACGGTCACGTTTTCGCAACGCTGGATGCAGTCACAGGGTACAGCTCTGGTGTAACTGTATTGCGTGCGGTCTGAACGCGTGGCCACGCGATGGCAAGCTATGTGGAGGGAGGCCGGGATACAAAGACGCGATAAATCCCCTGCATTCCTTTCGTGGTTTGGTTTTCTCTCTTCAGGTCTTTACTGTGATTTCCCTTTCCATAATATACATTTGTGCACATCGCATCCTCTCTGTACTCTAGCGTTTAAGGACGCATATCGCCGGGTGAAGTTGCTCGTGCTTATGGCGGAGGGAGATTGTTGGAGGCACGAGCATAACCCGTAGGTCAACACTGCTGCAGCCAGCTGCTAGGCCAAGAACGGGCCTAGCACCCCTTGTATCATTCTCGCGGGTCACACCCAGCTGCATCCGATGATGCAACAAATCAAGTCTGCTTGCTGCAAAATGTCGACTGTGTGCCATGACGGTAGTAGAACCTCCACCTTTCTTTGCTCCATAGCGCCCTGCGCTCCGGCTCGTCGGGTTGACTCTTTCCATTGCTATCAGTTCTCTTTCGGCTTAATACCCGGAGTGGCATACCCAGTCGTACCCTCACCCGCGCTTGTGCAGCGGCAGCCAGGTCGGTCGGCTGTCAGCAAGGTAGCGCGTGAACCGTTACCAAGTCCACGATACCCTACTTTACATTTTAACATTCACAGAGTGTTCTTCACTCCAAATGCGCTTACCACCCGCTAGCGGCAACCCACCTACCCTTGTAAAACTCTCATAGGTCCAACAAGTGCCACACCATGAAAGTGGCCTTGGCGGTTTTCGAGTATTGGCAAATGGAAGAGCCCGACCTCGCGGGCAGGTCACTACCGAAGATAACGCGGCTGGGGGACAGACACCATGCCCCGGCGTCACTCGCTACGTCCACCGTACGGCCGTATGCCCACATCCTGCCAAAGGCCGGCAATCCAGTGCCATGAATTTCGTTCTCCGCCTAGATACGTATATCTGCATGTCTGTCCTAGCTTCCCAGGCGGCGACGACATAAACACGAAGAATTCCTATCGTACAGCCGTCGTACAGCCAACACAGTCGAAGCGGTGCGGCTGAAGACGTCACTTCATCATGTTGTTTATCTCTCGTGTGCAGTGCCGTACTATATCATGTCACGCGACAATGAAAGGACGCCAGAGAACGCAATGATTGATGTAATTATTCCATCATGCGGTAATAGTAGTAGTAGTAGTAGCAGTAGTAGTAATAGTAGCGACCTCGTCGGCACAGTCGACGCCCGTCCATTTCAATCCCCCCGTCCAGTTCCCCAGATATCGCAACTAGACTGGCTGTCTGTGCTGCTGTTTGGTGGTTCTCACCTCGCCCCTTGCTGAACACTTGCTGGATAATCAGTTTCAAATGTGAATGCGCGAGGCAAAGCGTCCAGAGGCGCCGAGAACAGAAATCCAGAAAGGCGCCGTCAACGCACGCCGATCTGTAGCGCAGTGCGGTTGCCTCCTAGATTAATAGCTCGTCACAAAATCGCACACTAAAGGTACAAAACCCCACGTAAGCACTTACTCCGTTCATACGATTTTTCATACACACACACACACATACACACACAAAGGTACGCTCGCACTTGTACAAGTATATCAGAATGCCTTCTCTTCTTCACACGGTCCATTTAGGCTGGGCTTGTAATCGCGCACTGCGCTCTGGGTCGTACGCTGTCGTACGGCTTTAGTTGAGAGGGCGGCCCCGCAGCAGATCGCCGCGAACAACGAACGAATGAATGTACGTGCATCTGCGAAACGCGTGTATGTTTCGGGCAGAGAAACCTGTACAGGAAAAGTCACCGATGATGATGACGACAGGCCGCCAGAAATGTCCTTCAACGCAATCGCAGACAAAAAAATATTAGCAAAAAGAGGACAGAGACTTGGGAGGTGCCCCAGTAGAGAAGAAAAGAACAAATACAACCGTCCTCTTAGCCTCCTCCGAAACCCAAACCTCAACATACCCCCCAACACCCCAACGTGGAAAGTCAGTCTCCACACCCAAATGACTGTGAAAGGTGTGCAGGTGCACCCCGCCATTAGGTCTCGTACTCCACAACACCAGCCACGTCCTCCAACGTGTACGGCACCTCTGAAACGAATTAAAAGCCGTACTACGTGAAAAACCGTCCCACGAGGATTTTCCATGTGCTGCAGCAGTTGATGCTCGGCGAGGTTGATGCCGGCGCTGGGGGAGCGGACTAACCGTCTCCCCCGGCGCTGGGGGGGAGGGGGGAAGAGGAGATAGCAGCCTCAGTCCAGCGTCGCAGCTGGGGCCGGCCTACACCATAAGTCAGTAAATTTTCTGTGTCCACCCATAGGCGGAACGCGCCCTCGTGTACTAGATATTGACCGTCCCTACCTATTATCCGACTGTCTAACCGCTCCTATATATACAGATTAAAGTAGTACCGCTAACTTTACGGCGTTACTACTGTGTAGGTGATTAAAAATTTGGCTGACGCGGGCTGACGGGAAATCAACGCTGCGACACCGCGGCCCCGCCCCGCCAAGGGAATTGCAGCGGCAGCACATTGACCCCCAGCGGGGGCCATAAGAAGTGGCGGAGACCGCGGCGCTCGTCGCCACCGCGTCGTGCGCGCCTCAGCGTGTCTTTGGCGAAGGGAGCCCATTGGCGTGCGCAGGAGAAGTCGTTGATGCCCATGCCTGTGTGTGCCTCGGGGGTACAGGACAGGACAGGACCGGGCAACACACAGCACACAGCACACAGCACACAGCGACACAGGCATAGCGCATGAAACGCACGCACGTGTACAGGAAACATCGAAAAACGAGATGCACTTTTATACTAATACATAAATGTGCAAAAAAGATTTAAAAAAAGATTCAAAAAAACTATATATACCGCGCACGTGCAAAAATGGTGAAGCTTGCGATTGTTTCCATTGCTTGAGAGTTTTCATCCGGGAGGTTTTTGCGTTCCCATCCCATTCTAACAAAGAAAGTGATGGGGATGGGAATGGAATGGGCAGGGTGTACGGACAGACCAATGGGCAGGGTGGTGGTGGTGGTGGTGGTGGTGGTGCCGGAGCAGGTGGTGCAGCGGCAGCTCAGCACTGTTTCCCAAGGCGCCATCATCTTCCGCCGCACCGGCAGAGACATGCAAAGACAATCCGCCATACATACCGACATACCGGACCGACAAACGGACACAGATGGACACGGCCGATTTATCCCTGGGAAATACTGTCGTACCGGTAAAAAGTCGGTATCGTCGCCTGCTTCACAACAGGGGAGCTGCATTCCACAGCTAGACTTACCGTTGGCCAGACCCCGGAGCAGCTGTACGACACGCAGTACGAAAAACATATCCGGAGGAAAGGTGGAGATGGCCGACCGCTTGATGGGCGAGTTCGGGTCAAAGGGGTCCACCTGCAAGGGCGTTCTCGTGTGTAGATCGGGTGTGGGCGGGAACGATTTGTGGAGCCGTCAAACTGTCACTTTTCACCAAAAGACATAAAAAACAAATCTGATTCTATTCCATAACACTGACTGCTATTTGATCGACATCCCCTCAGCCAGTAAGTAATTCCCGCCCGCGGCTCAGACCCGAAGGAACACACTTAAAGGAGTACGACACGGTACGACACATGAAGTATTCCGTGCCACAAGTGAATGAGTGAGGAAATGAGTGAGAATTAGGAAGAGGAGTCAGCCAGGAAGAGGCATCTCAAATCTGGGAAAGATTACCCACATGCAAGCGAACCAGGAGCGAGTTCCCTAATCTCGTTTACGCTACCGGCGGCATATCAATGAATATGGGCCAATAGGAAGGAGCAAACAGGCCCCATGGTTTTCCCCCCCATCACACACACCCACACACCTTGCCCCGCGTGTCAAACATGCCGTACGCCATTTCCGTACGGATGTCCGGATCGTTGCGTTCTGTTACGACTCCAAGCTTGCCAAGACTGGAGGAGATGTCCGCCGCACGGCCGCTGGCAGTTGGTTGTGAGCGTGTGTGTGTGTGTGTGTGTGTTTTGTGTGTGTATTGACCGGGTTGGGGGGAAAAGGGTAGTTGGGGAAAATCTTAGGTTATTTTGGCGGTTAACCGAAGCTGTAACCGCATGTGAAGCTCTCGTTTCCCCCGCACGTGCCAGTCCCCTGCAACCCCCGCATGCAATACACGCCGCCAGCCCCCTACGGGTCCCCCCTCCCCCACGCATCCTCTCTCCCCCCCCCACGTCCTCCTCCGGCCTCGCGGCAGCTCCCTCACCTCCTCCCCCCCTCACCGATGTAACGCCAAAACCAGTTCCGCGAACGCCATTCGCTGTTGGTCGGGCAACTGCTTCGACTGTCCGTAATCCAGCAGCCCCACTCGCCCGCCCCGGCCTATGAGGATGTTGCCCGGATGGCCGTCAGCCTGCGTTGTGTAGTGTAATGTACTGTTAATGTAGTGTGGTGTAATGTTAATGTAGTAAAGTGTATTGTAGTGTTTGTGTGCCGGATGATCCGTGATGATGGGTGCGGTTTAAGAGGAGGAAGAGGGAGGGGGAAACCATGTGATGATGATGATGATGATACAAGAGGAAGCAAAGGCGGTCAACTGTGCCGACACGTCCAACGCCGTAAACTGCCGTGCGAGTCTCAAGAGGAAGGGTTTGGGAAAAGGCGGGCGGGAGGAAGCGCTCAAAGGAACGGGCCCCAACCTCGAATGGTACAGGTTGCGTGTCGGGAAGTCAACGATATGCGGGACGGAAACAAGGAAACCGTACGACCAGACAGATAGACAGACTGGCATACAGGGGAAAGATGGGCCGGGGCCCAACACTTGGTAGGGCCGTGGTTCGGGCAATCTCTCGGGGCCCAGTTCACCGCAAAGACACACACACACAGCCGCCGGAAGCCGCACCTGGAAGAGTCCCTCGCCAAAGATCATTCTTCCGTACGCCTCCGAAACCCTGTACATTTGGGCGACAGCGGCGGATGGATACCTACTCACAGAAGGCACATCCCCGCAGGCCCGCATGCGGAGCGAGATTAAGAAACACCGTCGCCGAAATTTGTCCAAGGTACCTCCCTCCTTTCCTCCCCCCTTTCCTCTCCCTCCATCTAACCCCTTTCCTTCCCTCTTCCCCCCTTTCCCTCTCCCTCCCTCTCAATGCCCTGGTGAGATTGACCGACTAAATGACACGGGGCTCAGAGCTCCGGAGCTGTTCCTGTTTCACCACGTCCCTCGTCCTCACATCTCCACTAAAACCCCTAAAACCCTAACCCAGGCCCCTCCGGGTGATACGGACCTGCTCAGGATGAGGCGCTTGGCTGCGTCCCGGGCCCGGGGCGACATTCGGGAGACGCGAGAGCTGGCTTCGAGCAGTGGCACACCCTGCGGCAGAGCACGTAGGGAGAAGGGAGAGGAGAGAGTAATCCGCAGCGTGCGGCATACCTTCTTCATAGTCAGACACAATCGGGGGGTTAGCGCTACGTAACTGCCGCCGCGATGGCAAAAAGTAGACTTGGGGGCACTCTTTATGCAGCGATGCGATGCGGTTTTTGTCGTTGCTGCTGTTCCAGTTGCCAAAGAGTCCTTTTGTCAATCGTTTTTCCCGTACTACACGTGCTCCGAGCCGCTCTATCATCAGGTAAACAGAATGACTGATATCATATCTCCCAATGAGGCATGTCGTTCCAGGTCGTTTTATTACAATGCAAAGATTTTGCAGATGGGATTTGGGTATGATGACGATGATGATGATGATGATGATGATGATGATGATTCTCTTCCGCACCGGGTCCACCGGGTCTCTTAGGCACCAACAAGTTCCAAATTGGATCCCACTGTCCGTACATTCCCCGGATCCCCCACGAGGCCCGCGCACCTCCACGAAGCTCATGACAAGCGTCCGCTGGGTGACGAGGCCGCCCACAGAGCGCGGGATTTGCAGTCTGGATGCTTGGGGCCGCAGGTGCTCGGAAATGGTGTCCATGACACGGGCCTCCCTGGGGTACGTGTGTGTTTCGTGTTTGTGTGTGTATTGAGGTATAGATAGATGGATAGGTCCATAGATGGATAGATAAGATACAGGTATAGAAAGGGCAGCTGGTAAGATTTCGACGTGAAATATTTGAATTCGTAAAATATTTGAGTTGTGAGATACAGAGTCTGCAGATGCGTCTGTAGGTGTGTCTGTAAGTGTGTACAGACTGACTGGCAACGCAAAGCGTCAAGAAAGAGGAATTACTGACTCGTCCCAACCGACCTAACGAATAATTAACAACTGGTGTACGAACCGTGTGAAGTCAAACTCCAGCCGGATCTGTTTGTTCAGCTCGTCCACTGCAGAGACCAAGTCAAACTGTGACGGAGGAGGTACGACAACAACATAAGTTAGGATTTGGGACATGGTAAGGCGGAGGTTATCACGTGGCATGGGCCTTTGATCGGAATTTGCCGTGAAACAACCGGCAAAAGGCGGCAAAACATCAAATCCCATGATTTTTTATACTAACTTAACTTTTAATAATAAATTTAAAATTCAACAGCGGAATCCAGCGGATTTTCAATTCATTCTTACACTTCTGATGTTAAAAACCCACTTTGAGCTCTGTTTTGGACAGGAAGAACGCCGCCGCGCGGAGGTTGGCTAGGTCAGCTTGCATGATGGGAAGCGCGTTGGGGTATTGGACCTGCAGAGCAGTGCAAGCGCCGGGAGTTGTTCTGACGTACAGATATACGGCATCAGTACAGGCTATACCTCCGCCGACTGCATCACACCTTACTTATTGAGCTGTTGTCGTACAGCAAGTAGAGGGACAGAGCATCGGGTGACAAACCCTAAGAAATACCCCCTCGGTCCCCTGTGATTGTCCATTCAGTCCATACCACTAAACTTTGATGGGCCTTACCTTAACCGCGACGAGGCCGTCCTTTGGGGCATCTCCAGCCGCCACGGCGTGCATAAGGGCTGCAACAGCCGGCACCCGTGTCTCCAAGCCGCTACTGCCACTGCTAGTGCTAGTGCCGCTGCCGTCATAGGACGCCAGAGACTTGGGTTTTATGACACGTATTGTCTGCCCGGGCTGAAGCCGTTCTAAGTCAACGCCTGCGACGGAGGAATACCCGCCAGGTGTTTTGTTGACGACCGTTGTCCAGTAAAGGGTATGCTGGGGAGGGAAAAAAGATGCCGCGAGAGGCTATTGCTGAAACAGTGTTATATTTACGAGATTTGTTTAAAGCCAAAAATATATATATTTTCGTCCTACCTTTTGCAGGAGTCGTTGTGCACGGCCAGCCCTGCCGTACCGGAAGTGCTCCACCCTTCGGATTGCTTTGTCTGATCCGGTTTGAGACAGCGACTGATTTCCCCCCCACCCCAGACCGCCTAAAGTTTCAAGAAGAGCTTGTCTCTTTTACTCACAGTCGCTTTTCTCCTTCGTTCCCTTCTCAATCCTCTTTCTTTTCTACTCTTTTCCTTTTTCTTTTTCCTACATTCTCATATTCATTTCCGCACGCCTTTCCTCTTCTTCTTTTCCTGCCTCTCCACACATCGCACCATCGCTTCAACAAACGCGGCACTGGTCTAAGAGCCAGAGTCTCCGCCGCGCCTCCTTCTCCTTAAGCCACCGGCCATCGGGGGCCCCAGCACGCAGCCCCTGTCGTTTACCTTTGTTGATGACCTTCAGCTCCCGCAGGCTCATGCCCAGCGCGTTACAGACCTCCCAAGCCCCCTCCCCCTGGCCCAACTGATACTCCGAGGGCCGCTGCCGCCGCAAACTGGCACTCGCGCAAGACAGCTCCGCGCGGCTAAAGCGCCGCAGCCGGGCCTTATGCACCTGCAAGGACGTGAATTGACACCTAAATTGATTCACTTACACATTCACACATACACATGCGCACGCGTTGCTCGCTTTCCTTCTCCCGCCGTTCAATTTAATTTTATTTAACCCCGCGGTTCAAATATTAAAACAAAATGCGAGGATTATAGGGTAAAAGTGTAAAAAAAGCTGTAGGACAGACTACTGCGTTTGCTTGCGCGATGCCAGCGCCTCTATCTATCCTTAATTTCATCTCATCTCGTAAAATCCCCTCGCACCTTAACAAAACGCACACACACACACACACACTCACAAACCCATTCATATACTGTTTCGCTGCTACTCTGGGCGTGCCGCTTTTTTCTCGTCATACCGCAGGTCCTCACAACGCGCGACTGAGGAGTTCGCCTCTTTGGGGATCCATCAGCATCATCATCATCATCATCATCATCATCATCATCATCAAACCCCCAACGGCATACAAATACCCACACACACAACCACACCTGGGAGATGGAAGCAGATCCGAGTGGCTGGTCCAAATCAATCCACTCGAAGACCTGCGATAGATCCGTGACACCCAGCTCCTGCTGAAGCGCAGCGCGGGTTGCGTCTGCCGACATGGGCGGCACCTGCGAAGAAGGTGGCGGGATAGGGCCGGCAGAGGGAAAAAGAGGCAGTTGGCTCCCGACGCGACTTGAACACGCAACGGCCGTGGGGCGGGCCGGGTTCTACACGCCGTTCTCGTCTCGGTTTCGGCCAGTGAGGTGGCGAGGTCGAGAGTCTGGGGCTCAGGTAACGGGTTGAGGTCCGAAGCCGGGTGTTGACAGGGTCATGGATTGGTTAATGATGCAGGGGTGTCACGTAGGATGGCCGCGCTAGGGCGAGGGGGAAAGACGAACCACAAACGAGTGAAGCGAGGGGGACAGGAACTTGGTTTTGGTATTGGTTTGTACCTGCTGTGGCATGTTTCCCCTTCCCCCTTCCATTATTGCCACACTGCCATCCCCTGCACACATTCACATGCACCCCTGTGCTGCCCAGCTTGAACGTGAGCGACATTTCCCTTCAAGCACTCATGTAAATTGTGAAAGCAACTGATCCCAAAAATATGCAACCCTAGTCGGTCAGGAAAGGTGCCGAGCCAAAGCCGAGTCAGGGGCAGCATGTCATAGAGGCGGGGTACAGCGGGATGTGGCTTGCCTTGTCGCACAGGAGGGATAGCTTCCTGCATATCTGCTCCGGGACGAAGTCGCTGCGAGAGCCAATGAATTGACCCGCCTGCAAGAGGGAGCCAAACAGGCAACACTTGGAGAAGATGCAAGTAATATGGACGAGCAACTAAACGCCACTCGCACAACGATGACGAACTTTTGCCTGGAAAATATTTGTTGCAATGGTCATCCCTTTATGTAACAAAGACTGTAATTCGATCCAGAAGGTTAAACGCGACGCCCCACGGGCCTGCAAGGCTTCGTTGTTGTTGACCTCATAACCCGCTCAAACCTTCAGATAAAATCCTCGCAGAGCGATGCATAGATTATACATCTCCTCTCCAGCCCATGTGTGCTGTGGCACCCAAACCTCCTCATGTACTTCAGCATCGCTCTTGCCCGTCGCTTTCAGGAAGAATGATCGCAGCTGAGCGGCCTTGTAGCTTCCATAAATAAACACTGATCGCCTCCAAAAGTCAATAGTACGGGGCAACCCTAACGCTGACGGTTCTCTCAACCCTGTGACGGCAGCGACCGTGGGCGGCTCCGCTGGCGAAAAGCCCATCCTTCGAACGGAGAGTATACATACATTACGCGGACTACAAACCTTTGCCTGTTTGCACTTAGCTTACAGTGCAATATCATTTTGTACGACGACCCCAACCAAGATTTACCTCAACGCAGGATCGCTTGAGAGTAGTATGGCCCTTCCCATAATAATTCGTCCCGATTTTCCTACCGATCTTGGTGTAGCTGAAAAAAACGTATAGAGTGACAATCACGTCCACCATCGGCAACAACCACCTTGACCCATGGGCCCTCCCTTTCTGAGCGTCCCGTAGACGGGCGTCCGTGGTTTGTAATTGGGCCTACCATGCAAGAACTACATCAACATTACAGTGATCCCTGTTCCGCAGCTGACTTAACTATAGCTGCAGGCGTACTCTGTTAAGGGTCCCTGTGGTTTATCGTGGGGTTTCCATTAGGCTCAAATGGGAGTGAAGGATTTCCTACATGGCAGACCCTGGTCTCTTCCAATTCGTCCGTGTAAGTAAAGCATGCGACAAGGCGTCTCCAGCGACTGCCGCGGCCTTGAGGCAGAGGGCAGCAAAGGTGTGCATACAAGCCGGCATACAAGCCAGCACCTTTTCGGTGAGGAAAGTTATCACTGCGTTCGCTTTTGCGGCAAAACATTTCAAGATGGCCAAAGGTGTGGACGAGACTCTACCCTGATTAGCCCTGATTAGCCAATGCTAAACGGCTCTCAGCAACTATCAGGACCGTCACCGAAGTTTGGCTTGATTTTGCTGCATTTATAGGAAATAAAATGCTGTTAGCAAGCCTGTCGCTTTCCTAGCTTGCGCAAGAACTCCTACCTTCTCACTTGGGCCTGCGGTTATGTTATGTTACAAGGCTCAGACGAGCCAGGAGGCTCATGGACCGCGGGTTCTAGCGTAGTCAAAAAGAAGGAAGAAACAAAAAAGGAAAAAGGAGGAAAAGTGTTATGAACCCCATCTGCGAGAGGAAACAGTAACTAGGGTAAGCGACCTGAGGTAAGGACCTTCTGCTCGGCTATCAGCGTGCGTCGCAACGATCTGCGCAAGTCCGCGCTGATGATCTATCTCCATGACAGACCTCATATTAGGCAAGGGGCTCGATATCAGCATGGCGTACACATAGATTGAGGAGCCCTTCCCGTATGTCGTTGTAAGCGGGAAACCCACCATACGTGAACCCATCTTCTACTGCATTTCTGTCAGCACGGACCCTACACCAGCGCTCTTGGCGCGACCGACCACCGGGGTCGGCTTACCTCCAAAGGCCACGTCCCTAAGCGAAATCGCAGCAGTGACAAGTATGACTTCGCAGAGATGAACCGCGTTGTGTGTTTCGGCTTTCCCATCTAATGGGTATGCGGCAAATCTTAACTTCTGGTTTACGGTTGTCCGACACATATTCCCGGGGTGGAGTAATACGACGTTGCCTGCGGTTAAGAAGTTTGAGGAATTTCAATGCCGTACTGTAAAACAATTGTCCTCCGCATGCGGAAGTCCTAGGCGAGTAACTCCTAGGCTATTTACGAACGCACCTGACCTATAAACTGTTCACCTTCTACGTTCTTTTACCGACGCTGCTTTCGTAGGCACCACATTATTCCTTTCAGCGTGTTCGCGCGTAGTCGTTCTAGGCTTGTCAGCTTATTTTTTGCACTTACTTTTAAAGCAAAGGTTTCGCAAATATTGGCGTTTGAGGACAGGCTTTCATATACATCCCAGACAGTGCCCAAGTGTAGATACTGGTTTGGCCAGCCACCTCAGCAGGATGGCAGGCCTAAGCCTTGGGCTCAGCGCTTCAGGAGGATAGGAGCTTGGAGGGGAGATGGATGAATTCTCGAGGCAGCCCGGCGCATACTTGGGGCATACTCGGCGTACAACCGCGAGGGCCTCGATACCTGGAGAAGCTATTCATGAAGAAGCAATAATGCGCATGGCGTTCCAGGGCTACGAGCGGTCTAGCAGCGCTGAGGCTCGGGGCCTTGAGGCAAGAGCTCCGTTACTGGGCGTGCACCCGGAGGCCTGGGATCGATGCAACTCAGCCGATGGCGTGGACCCTAGCATTGCGAGGCAGCTGGCTTCCGCAGTGGAAGACAAGCTTAAGCTTGCGCCCATCCTTGCCAAACGCCTTGAGAAAGTATCGCATTCGTCGGGGAGCTTTAGCTCGAGGGTGCGCATGCTTTCATAGCTGTTTAGCATTCTTTGGCCACATGTTTAAAAGGACTATTGGGGTGTCTGCCCTGCAGCAAAGCGTCGCAATGGCAAACCACCCCGGCAACCCGTCTGGGGCGTCTGGCCGTAGTACTCCGCAGCGGCCAGTCCCAACTTCGGACTATAGCAAGGTTAGGTTTTACGCTATTGCTCTTTGGTCAGGATTTTTGATGGTGCTCACATCTTTGCTTCTCTTCCGCAGCTGAACTACCTTGTGACCTCGTTGGAAGGTGTTCGTGGAGAACGGAACCTAAAGGTGGAAGGCTCAGCACGGCTTCCGCAGGTACGCTTGGTTTGGCGTCCAGTTGACAAGGAGAGTGAGTTATCGTTCATGGTGTCCGTTCCATCGCCGCCGACGTGAACGCAGGTTGTGCTAAATGTCCAGAGTGGTTCGCCAACAACTTCCCGAAGTGGCAATTCTCACAGCTTTGACGAGGCTAAGCGTCAGGTGGACAGGGACTTGCGTCTTTTCCTTGCAGATGTCCGCGACCTTTATGCTCAGATCAACTTGCGCGAGGGTGCGGACGTGCCCATCGTGCTGGAGGTCATCGCCAGGTAATTTCAATAACTGGGAAATAAAAGCAGCCAGTGACGGCACTGTCTGCCAGAAGATAGCAATGTACGCTCTCGGTGCCCAAACGCAGCATTATGGACATCGCGGAGGAGTGCCTTGAGACGCCTGTGGAGGACTTTAAGCTCACAATTACGGACGTTGTTGACAATATTGAGGTATGCAGCCTTTACGATGTCTCTCGGGTGAACCGATGTGTTGGCACGGCATAGCCCGAAGGAACCCCACTTCACTCCTGCAGGAGGAGCGCTCAGCCTGCCAGCAGCGCACCATTCGCGCATTATATACCCGGCTGTTGTTCATCCTCACGCGTTGCAGCCGCTTGTTGATAACCGAGCAGCAGCATTTGTTTGCGACAGAGCCCCGCAACCGGCGGCGGCACTCCCAGGTCTTCGGTCACGGTCTGGCCACCGTAACACAAAAGGAACTGGGGCTGCACCTGCGTAAGTCCTAAAGGCAAAGCCATATAGCTCAAAGACGGTGTAGTACTGGCCCACTCACCAATGCCATGTGGGTTGCTCTGCAGCTCCGCCAAACATGGGCAATGAGGCGGGGGGGAGTGCACCCAAGGATGAGGAGGAACCCGTTTTCCGCTCGCACACTATGCCTGTCAAGTAAGTATAAGTATTGGGACGCATGGCCAGGTGGCCTGTGGTTGCTTTGCTTTTGTCCTGAAGCCCCATGGTCAATGCAGGGCTATGTACAACATGGTGCAGCAGCTTAAGCGGGAAAGCCCTGCCATCCAGATGGGTAAGTGGTTGGCGTTGAACACCAAGAGCGATTTCCCTGCTGAGAATATAGCAGCTATAATGCTAAGTGTGCTTGGTGTGTGCAGGTGGTTGGGCCGACGCACACGTGCACCATCACCAGCTGACCCGAATACAAAGCGAAATTCCGGAGTCGCCCGGGGGCGAATCTCAGGACGTCAGCGGGTCCGTGTTGCGCAACCACAGCAAGAGCAGTGACCTAGATGCTTACCCCAGCACAAGTGACGGCAGTGGGTTGAGTGCCGCAAAAAAGAAGAAAGGGTTCTTTGGGAAACTTTCCAAGGGCATAAAGAGCTTCACGGACGGCTTCAAGCGGAAGTCCTCATCAGTGGTGAGATGGACATCGGGTTAGCAGAGTGTGGCCTCGTTAGGACCATTGCTTCTAAGCTCGTATGCGTTGTTTTGGGAGTGAAATGTGTCGGGACGCCAGAGAGCATTTCGTCTCGAACCAAATTCGTCTGGGACCTCGGGGATGGTGGTTGGCTGGCTAATATACATGGGTGCACAGTCAAGGGCGTTGTCTCTTGTGTGTTTTGTTTACGCAGTCCTCACCCACTTTTGCCTTGCTCTTAAGTAGTGGTGCTGGTCCCGCTGGCACTCGCGCACATCAATACCCACAGAAGGACAAGGGCAGCCCGGACGGGATAATTCGGCCGCATTCGGAGATTCAGCACGCACAGCACGTGCGCCGTCGGGATCCCATGGCGGAGCGGCCGGTGAAGCTCTCGCCTAGATTTCTGCACGAGGCGGGTTCCAACCTTCGTGGTGCTAAGTCCGCAGGATTGGGATTGGATGGATCTGACGGCGGCGGTGAGGTTGCGCCACTGCGCAAGATAGATAACCAACGGTCCGTTCGCTTCCAGGAAGCACCTGTACATATCATCGGCAGCGGCAGCGAGGGTGGCAGCCGTGGCGGTGCTGCCGCGCGGGGAAGCAGCGCTATGGACATCAACAGCGGGGGAGCTGAGGGCGACACTGGCAAGCGGGCAAAGCTGATGAGTAACACTGACGTGGGGCGGCCGCTGCAGGAGGAGCAGCGGACCAGTAACTCGCCGGCAGCTTCCAGCGAGCTAGAGGTGTTGGGTGGCGGCGGGCGCGGGAGGCTGTTCCGTCGAGCATCAGTGGACCTGTTCGCGATGGGAATGAATGTGGGGCTGGAGCCCATGTCCCCTGATGGGATCCCGCCGGAGGACTTAACAGTGGTAAGTGGCTGTGGTGGTGGCCCAAGCAGGTGGCTGTCGGGGCAGCATAGTGTGAAGAGCCAGCAGGTTAAGGTGGGCAGCTATGGAGCAAGCGGGTTGGACCAGTTTGTAGGCATGCATGCTAGTAGGAATAGGATAGGAGAGCGGCTGGTGCGTGGCCGGATAAAACAATGCTCGAGTGAGGTGCAGGAAGGGAGAGTCGCCGCGTTTGTGTGGCCGTTGGGATGCTGGTAAGAAGCATGGACATCTGGCAGAAGATGCGTGGGTTGCGCCGGCAGTGGAAGAGTTCATGTAGCTGACGTGCTATTTCTACAAGGCTTGCAGAGGCGGATTTGCATCAGAGCTTAGTGATGACCTGTGTGCCGCACCTTTTCAGTCCTGGGCATCGTTTCTATTTATAAGGCTGGTTGGATCTTAATGGATTGAACTGCGTAACCCTGGCAAGGGCTTGTGTAGTGCATTTGTCTGGGATCTGGTACCGCACAAAGAACAGCGCGTGAAAGTGACATCAGGCCGTTTGGATCCGATTGGGTAGGAGTGCACAGGATGACGCCCAGAAATCTTAGGGCGGCTTTCATGCACCGCCTGGAGGGGAAAATGGGGATGGGGTGGGGGTGGGGGTCACCTCCCCGTCCCTTTCCAACGCGTGACATACTGTAATATCTGCATTGGGCATGGGTTTCAGCATATTCAGATTCGTCGCACATGTACACGCGTTGCTATTCGCTCTGCGCTTTTACGCTTTGGCACAGCGGCGATCCTGTTTGCCTTGTTTGTTTGCTCGTTTTCCTTCACCAATCTCGGCCCTTGTCAAGTGTTGCGTTGTTGATGCGCTTTCTAACCCCTCTGGTTTTCTTGCATATGATTCCCCCGTCCCTGCTAGATCTGCTCTATCTGTGAAGAGGCCTGGCTCAGCACGCACCTGGAGGAGCACAGCATACACTGCGCCGTGCTGCGGACGCTCAGCGGCAACGGCCTGAGCGTAGATGCGCAAATGACGACAATAGCCAACGTACTGGAGGAGTGGCTGGAGACTCCGCTGGCATTTCCAGCGCTAGGGCCAGCGCCTAGCCAGTACCATGTCAAGTGAGTTTGCGGCGTAAGTGGGTCCTAGGCAGGGTCCACGATATTTAATATGGCCTCCTTGTCGCTGAAGGCGTCGGCGCGTGGTGGGTGGGAAACGGGCAAAAGCTGAAAGAGGGAACACGCATCCAGCGCGTGGATACGCAGTCGCTTTGGAAGGAGCTTTACCACGGGAGGCAAAGCTGCAGCGGCAGCAAGGCACACGGGTCGGGTGCGACGGGTTGGGTGCAAGACTTGCGGATAGCCTTGTTCGCTCCGAGACGGTAATACACTCAAGACATGAGATGTTGAGAGTATGCGTGCCGTAGGCTTCGTAACGGACATTCGTTGGTTATTATAACCATATTATACCCATGTCCTTCATAGAGGGTCGGTGAGGAAAGGTGTTGTTGCGGCATGCTTGAGAGCTTCAGGAGCTGCGTGGACGTAGATGAAGAGTAGAGAAATGCAGAGGTTTGCTACTGGGTCTATCTGGGGAAGAGTAGAGAAATGCAGAGGTTTGCTACTGGGTCTGCCGGGTCGGTGAGTTATACTCCGCCTTGCGCTGTTTGCCATACCTACATTTGCATACTCGTGGGGTTTACTGTGCCCTCAATTGCGGCCCTTTTGTACCATTCCAGGAACCAGCTGCTCAAGCTGATTCGGGCGGCGCGGAATGCGGCAGCCTTGCAGCCGGATGGTTCCAAGGTGCCGACAACGCGCTGCTTTTCTATTCAGGCAGAGCTCGAAGACATGCTGGAGGCGGCGGCGCAAGCGAATAAGCTAGCGATTGTGACGCAGACTTACGCCCACCGTGTTATGCGGCTCATATCTGAGAAGGTGGGCAGTGCTGAGTTTAAGTTTCTCTGAGTGAAGCAGTGCTCACACGGTCACAAGCGTGTCCATGCTCAGTGAAACCCTGCTCGGCATGCTATCGCTTCGGAAAAGTAATAGAGTAGATATAGTAGATAGGGAAACCTGTCTGAAGGAGTTGTCCAATGTTGTAGTCAGAGTCTCGAGGCATCCGCATGGCGCAGGATGGAGGGGCAATGTGTGCAGTATTCCTGCGTACGAAAGCATCAACAATTCGCTGATTACCCCCCCCCCCCGTGTTGTTGTGCGCGTTTGGTTCTACGCGGTCTGGCGTTGTCTGTATTGTGTAGAATTGGTTTCCTTCGGTCTGCGCATGGTATGTTGGCGTTATTGTACCCGTGCATAAGAGGCGTCAAGATGCCCCCCTGTTGCTTCGATTTCATTTGGCTTACACTTCATTACAATATTATAGTGCCGTGCTTAAGCTCCTTGGGCCTCACCTTTGCGCATCATGAGGTATGCGGCAGCTGGATCCAACCATTCGCACTGTTTTGCGCATTGAGGTCGTGACAATTGTCTGGTTGCGGTTCATGCGGGCTCAACCTCGATCTGTGCTGCGTGTCTTGTCTCTAATCTCTAGCTAGCAACTCCATCGCAACACCATGTACCCCCTCATCATGGCGCCGTTTACCAGGTGAACCTGTTGTCGGAACCCTTTGGCGGAGGGCGTGTACGCGCCGGCGGCAGCAGCGACGCAGGCGATAGCGGGACGTCTACGCCACGCAGCATGCCGGGGATGTCGATTGACGAGTTTGAGATCATCAAGCCTATCAGCCGTGGTGCCTTTGGTCGTGTGTACTTGGCGCGCAAGCTGGCTACAGGGGACCTCTTCGCCATTAAGGTGTGGGGTGAGGGGGCCAGGGTCTTGGAATGCAGTAAGAGCTAAGAGAACGACGACCATTTATTTACCAGAAGGACACGGGTAGGGTCTGGCTCAGAGTTTCCAGGGGAGGAGTCACCCGCGTCCCTGATACTCTTCGCGGTCAGTTGCTCAAGTGCGCTGGGCGCGTGCACGACGGTGTTGCCTACCAGCGGCCTGGTGGACGGTTGCAGCTGCAACCAAACCAACCTTTTAAATCCACCTCACACCAAGCGCATGCAGTATTCTAGTTGTTGCAGTTTGCGGCGTGTTTCCCTTGCGTGCATTACCTTTCTCAACCATGGCTTTCCTCGTGTCAGGTGATGAAAAAGCGAGACCTGATTCGCAAAAACATGGTGGAATCGGTCACCAACGAGCGGAACATCCTGGCGATGGCACAGAATCCCTTTGTGGTGCGCTTTTACTATTCGTTCACGTCGCGAGAAAATCTCTACATAGTGATGGAATACATCAACGGTGGCGACTGTTTCAGGTGCGTAGACCACAGCGTCCAGCCGGGTATACATACTCGGTGTGGAGGAGCTTCACGAGAAGATGGGAGAAATAATGCTGCGGCTGCATAAGACGACGTGCTGACGGGTTCCTACAGCGTGACGTGTCCCTGATGCGTTAGTTCACGAAATGGCAATCAATAGGGAAAACAGCTTTGAGGTTCAAATTCTTGTGGCTAAAGCAAGACCGGCGGCCTCAAGGGCGCTAAATCGGATCCAGTACACGAGGCAATCTTCCATGCGGATGTCCTCAACAAGCTGTATTGCACCCGGCACCCCCGCCTTTTTCGCAGCTTGTTGCGGAAGTTCGGCGCTCTGGACGAGGAGGTGGCCCGCCAGTACATTGCGGAAACAGTGCTTGCACTCGAGTACTGCCACGCGCAGGTGCGCACTTGCGTCAGTGGGGCGCACGTTAGAGCCGCGTGCATGGGAAAATTGCTGCTAGCACTGCATATGTGTTGGAATTCTGGTTTGGACGCGGGAGATGTTTCAGCTGGCACCACGAGTGCACCCGTCCGACTTCAGAGTGTACTCTTTGGGTTCGGCAACTCACCACCAGCATCCAACCAAATCTAGCGGATCAACGGCGCCTCAACTTAGTTCCTGGTCAGCTCGCAAATTGATTTTATCACGTCCTACACCGTCCACAAAATGGGTGGCCACCTCCCATATCATCACCCCTCACACACCCGAGAGGTCGGCAGGCGGATTTGAACCCGGACTCTCCGGGAGCAGAAGTCAGGCCTTAACCTCTGCCAGCCACCTGCCAGCCACTGCCAGCCACCTGCCTATATCTGTTTTCTCTGACGAGTACATTGTCTGATTCTTATAGCATCTTCATTCTGCCCTGTCTGCGTCCTATGCGCATGTCATACTAAGGCGCTGTGACGTTCATACTATGGCTGGTCATGTTGTTAGATGTTCGTGTTCATGTTATTCATACTACGGCCAATCATACTCAGGTTCTGCGACCCTACGTCCTTTCGCACGACACAGGGAATCATTCATCGTGACCTCAAGCCGGACAACTTGCTCATTAATGCACAGGTATGGCCCTCGGTCATGGCGGCGTGACTCCGCGCGACATGGGTAAGGGACCGTCTTTCGCCGTGGAGCCTGACTTGCACATCTGATTGCCTTCCGCTTGGTGGATTCACTTACATGCATTCTATGGACCTAGCCCTGCATATTTGCCCATTCCACAAACTTGAGGCCCAAATAAGTATATGATTACGTGGGGGGCTCGGGCATCTTGGTCCTGGAATGTTGCGTAGATCGGGTCATGGAAGATGCTTTGGCTATATTGTGCCAGGCCTCGATACGTAACAAGGTTGGTTGCACCCGCGCACCCATTGGCAGGGCCACGTCAAGCTGACGGACTTCGGGTTAAGCTGCGTGGGCGTGATTGACAGGACGGACAACTTGAACGGTTCACAGACCATGGACACAGATGGGACAGAGCAGGAGACGGAATCAGCATGGGGCAACGGCGCGGACGGCAACGGGTAAGTCCGTGGCTGCACCTTGCATGGGTCCATTGCGGTCAGGCGGTGGCCTCGCACCCACCCCAGCGACAATATTGTTACTTTATCCCTAACTTTAAGCCGAGTATTCCTATTAAAATCATTCCATCAATTGTTTTCTTAACTGAAATTGGATCTAAACTGAAAAAACTGGACTGAACTGAAAAAACTGAACTGAAATTGGATTTAAAGACCGTAAGCGAGTATGCCCTACTTCCAATATAGGTCCATACTGCGTAAGATATGAAATTTCATGTTTCTCATCAAGTATTACATGATTATGATCAAGCTTTTACCTGCTAAATCTAACCCAGAAGGGGTAGATATAGTTGATATACCTTAACATATAGTGACAGAAAACTTAGCAATATTGCTCTGTTCCTTGGAATGGATGGCCCGCTAGTAGAATTGCCATGTGGCACGGTAAAGGCTCGCATGTTAATTTTTTTTGTCATAAAGAGGATAAAATAGATTTTACTTTAGCTCGAGTGGCTTTGATAAAAAGTCAAAAGTCAACGGCGGAAGCACCTTATTAGTCCTTCCAGTTTTTTTAACACACTGCAGCTTTTTTTGCAGCTGTTCGCCAAAGGATATGCCATGCGAGTTGCCCACTGGCACCGTGCGTTCCTACGCCCGTCCATGCCTCGTGCAGTGACTTCTCTGGTAGCGGCGTGGTACCCGGCGGCGGTGGTACTGGCGCCGAGCCCATGGATGCCTCCAAGTCGGATGAAGGGCCTGCGTCGTATATATCGCAGGACGGAGCTGCTCACCTGAACGGGCGCACGAGCGCTCATGGGCAGTCGCTTGGTGCAGCCGCGCTTGGCCTACCGCCTCGACCATTAGGCCAGCACCAGGTCAGCGAGGGATATTATTTATAGTTTTTGTGTCCGGAAAGTTGTCAAGCACGGCTTACTAGGTTGGAACTTCAGGATAAAAATTGTAAGGGGACGTGCCAGGTTCGTTCATACCTGACATTGCATGGAAATCTGTAGGCAGGGCGATCCGCGCGCCGCATGTGCTGGGCTTGTGCCAGTACCTCCGGCACTGAAGACGGCATGGACAGGTCAACCTCCTCTCAAGTAACGCCGTCTGCGCTCCGTCCATCGGCTTGATCGCCGGCCGCTATCCGCCGACCGCTAGTATTCTGGCTCTAGGAGGCTTCCTTCTTGAACTTTGCGCTATCCTAGCGTAATTGTCCTTAATCTCTTTGTACTGTTGGGCCCTTTGACATGGTGACGATTTCTGTCCCTCAGCGCATCGTCGCGCCGGAGCATGAATGTCGTCGCGCAGTTGGCACCCCAGATTACCTGGCTCCGGAGCTGCTGCTGGGCACGGGGCATGGGCCAGAGGTGGACTGGTGGGCCCTGGGCACCATTCTGTACGAGTTCGTCACAGGTAGGGGGGCGGCTTTGGGTCGATGTCCATGGATCTCCCCGGGGATGTCTGGCGGCCTCGGCAGGGGTTGGGGTTGGGATTGGGTATTTAGGTTGTGCGTAAAGGAACAGCTCCATGTCAGCATGTTGGCGCTAATTGGTGCTTTTTATACATTATGCAAGTTCTGGTTTGGCTGGCTGCGCAAATTTTAGGTGAAATTTAAGCTTACGCACATACGGTTTTTTTACCTTCATCTGCTCCGCCAGGCACGCCACCCTTCAACGCCGATACGCCGGAGGAGATTTTTGATAACATCCTTGACCGCCGCATCACGTGGCCAGACGAGGACGACATGTCGGCCGAGTGCCGGGATCTCATCGACAAGCTTCTGCACCCCAATCCGCTCAAGCGCCTAGGTCACAGGTGCGGCGTGTCGCGTTGCGAATCCAGCGGTGGCCGGTTGGCTACCTAACATACGCCGGATATATGAAAGTGTTTAATTTGGCGGCGCGTGTGAGTGAACCAGCGGGGTATAGGGACTGTTACTCCTGGCCTGCCTGCGTGCTTGTTTCTTTAGCGGCACTAGTTCTGCCATCTGCGGACGGAAGCGAACCATGTTCTACGCTGATGCTTTTTTGCCCGGCTGCGTGCTTTCAGAGGCGCTGGCGAGGTGAAGCTGCATACTTGGTTTGAGGGCCTGGATTGGACGGGCCTTGTGCGCAACAAGGCCGCGTTCATACCTACCGTCGAGGACGAGACGGACACGTCCTATTTCGAGTCGAAGCACGTCTCCCAAAGGTCAATGGCAGAGGACCTTGACAAGCTACGCACCAGCGTGCCCACCGAGCGCACCTCTGCACACATGCCAATGGGTCCTAGCGGCAGCTCGGCAGGGCCGATGATGCTGCCTGGCAGTGGGCCATCCAGCGGCATGGGCGTCGGGCGGACACAGGTGCGCGCTACCCGCGGCGAGGTGCGGCAGCGCATGATCAGCAGTCGCTGCTGCTGCTCATTTTTTGGCCCGAAGCCGGAAAGGCAGTTTCGGATTTGGAGCTGAGCGAGCGGGGCGAGGCTGAGTTTTTTTGTACTGTCGTTGCAATTTGTTTTGGTCCTCCTGTCCATGAGATTCCCTGATGGGACCTGATGGGTGCGTTGCATCCTCTTGTGGACGTCGAAAAGGTGTGACTTCAGGGCATGTGTGATCTTGCCTAACATGCCTCGGTGTGCTCCTGGTCTATAAGCTTATCCTCGGCTTGCGAAAGCGCCTTATGCCGCTGTTTCTCCAGGCGTTTGACAGTCCCTTTCGCTGGCGGCCCGCTTCGCACCGCTCACAGGTGGACCGCCTGAAGGACCAGTACCACCGCGACGGATCCGGGATGCGCAGCATGGGATCCAGCAACAGCCACGGCTCCTCACATATGAGCCGAACGAGCTACACGGGCAATGCGGGCGGAGGTAGGTGCGGTTTGTGGGTACTACTGTGACGGCGGTACTGGGCTAGCAATATTTGTTAACACGAAAGATGTTAGGAGCTACAAAATGATGCTTAGCCCCTTTGGTGTGCCGACATAATGCCGTTGCTAACTTGAACAGGGGCTACAGGCACTGTTGCGCGGGTATTAAGTCCCGCCCAACTGTATCGTTAGAAATGAGTGTTTGTCGCGTGGTGCTGCGTATGCTAGTTTGATAAAAAAAATACATTTTAGTAAATGCTGCTAATTACACCACCGTATATTTCGTTATGATGATTATGAGGAAGTTACACTCTTGCGTAATTTGACTCGGGCAAATCCTGAGGGGAGCACGCTGGGCCTGAGTCCTCTGCGAAACTCTTGTTATATTGAAATCCTCATGCCGGCTTTGCTTATCGTGCAGAGAGCATAGCCGACATGGCGCGGCTCTGCAATAGCCCGTTCCAAACGCCTGGCATCCAGTGCAACCCAGGGCCCGACAGCAGCATGCCTGGGCCTCAGGCACCGGCGGTATCGTACGGGCGCACCAGCGCAAACCAGGGCCTTATGTCGGGTTTGATGCACCCGCGCAACAGCATGGGAAGCAGCATATGCGGGGCCCCGCTTGGCGCTTTGCAGCACAGTGGTAGTGGCGTTCGGAACAGCGGGAGCGGTGTCCGGAATAGTGCTTGCGGTGCACGGAATAGCGGCAGCGGCGCCAGGAACAGCGGCTGTGGCGCGCGGCATAGCGGCAGCGGTCTTCGGAGTAGCGCCAGCGGTGCGCGGCACAGTGGCAGTGGCACGCGCGGTAGCGGGTCTGGTTCAGCGGGAATTGGCACATCGCCTGAACGACAGTCCCCTGGGTCGGTCGGCACCGGCGGCGGCGTGGCCTTGTCGGGCACCCCAGGTTACGGCACCGAGGTCGACGCTTACGGTAACGAAACATATGAGGAGTATGGAGAAGGCGAGGAGCTGGCGGAGGATGAGGAGGAGGTGGACGATGAACAGCAGGAGCAGCAGGCGCACAGCGGAGAGGACACTCAAGAGCTGCACATAGAGAATGATCCGTTTGGCAACTTCTCCTTTACTAACTTTACGGGTCTCTCCGCAGCGAACATGGAGAAAATACAAAAGCTGCGCGAGCACTTCAACCGTCGGACATCGTACTCGGGTCCAGGCACATAACAGGCGGGCGTCACGTATCTCGTGGCCTTGTCGTCTCCGTCGCTCTTAAGCGTGCACTCCTGCGATTAGCGGCGCGGATGCCGCTTGTTGGGCTTGTTGCCCGCGGTGGCGCCAGAGGTGTGAAGTGGCATGCATTAGACACCAACCACCACAGGCGACGCTAAGCGCCCCCAAAGGCCAAAAGCATTTCGCTTCTTGACGCATGGCGGCAAATCGTTGCACTTGACTGCACAAATAAGCATAGTCTGCACTGGAACATGTGCAACTCTGACTTCAGGCTGTCATGCCCATCGCCGTCGGCCTACTGGAAACGTTTTGACCCTTAAGAAATGTATTGCGACTTTGTATGTGGGTAGTGATGGTGTGCGTGGCGTATGTGCCGTGCGAACCCAGCGCAGCTCCTGGCTTTTAGTAGTAGATGATATGTACGTAGCGGTGCAACAACGTTGCTAGTAGTAGAAACGCTCCTGCTAGTGCGCGTCTTTAGATGGACCCCTCCCTGTACCCTCGCTCATGCTTAAACCCCAGCCTCTGCTTACAGGCTCCTACTGCTGCTGAAGGGTGTACGTACCATTTACAGTGAGTCCGCCGTCAACCGTGTCGATGTATCTAGCGACGGCGGATGCTTTGTGAAATGGGTTGCATCGTTGAGGGATGTAGGTCGTTAACTTCGCCCGTGGGGCTAAGGCATGCGGCAAACGCGGAGAGGAGTCTGCAAGTGCCTAGGGAGTTGGTTGATAAGCATGCAGGAAGCGACGAAGGGGGTGGCGTCCCAATGGACGGGTGCCCATCTGTTTAAGACGACATAGGATGACGCTGCACAGCACCAAGTGGAAAGCAAGGTCATGGACGCCCGAACCGGTGAAGATCGTGTAGGTCTTTGTTGGAGTGTTGCGCGGGCAGATCTTATCTCCTGGCAATCGGAGGTAGGCTTTACTTTATCTCGCAACTCTCGCAACGGGCCCAATGAGACACATAGATTTTGCCGAGGACACTTACTACTGACATGCCTGTGTATATGCGGAAGGATCTTTTGAGTGAAAAATGCGGCGTCCTTCACAGGGCATGTTGCTATAGCACGCGCTGTGATTTGGTGGGGGAAACGAGCAAATGGCGCAACTAGGTATTGATTATGGCTCAAGGCTTGCGCGCCTCGGTCCTGATAAGTCCAATGAGAAGGATTTTGCACAACGATAGTTCACGGTCGTGGGTTGTGTACATAATCTCTGCGCAGTCCACCATTTACTAACCACATCGCGCATAGTCGTTGGGCTTTGTAAATTTGGTTTGGGATTTAAAACTGTTGTATTTTAGGGACTGACATGCCCAGATATTCACGCGTGCATGCCGCAGGTCACCGCAACGCTCCTGCAAATCCGCGTAAACATTGCATGTGCACCGGATATTACGTAGCTTTTCTGCTGTCCACCTCAAACGAACAATAATCACCACCGCACTTCACCAGCTTGGGAAATCCACACAAGCAGAGCTTCAGGCCAGAACTTGAATGCAATCAAAGCACTGCCCCAACGTGACGAAAACACCTTAGGCCCCGAACGCACATTTCCGCCTGAAATCTCCAATTGGATAAAAATTTAATGTCTTAGAACTTAATAATCTAATTTGTGGCTTACGAACCAGGCCCTAGCCGCTATATACTGCACTGGCCATAGCCATGTTCCCGGGCAGGCAACCAGTTTTCCGTACGCCAAATTCCACCGGGTCTAAGTAAACAACGGAACACCTGGTCTCTTATGGCCACGGGATGACTGGCCGGCCATCATATACTTGCGCAGCAAGCGCACTTAAAAAATGTGCATGTGCGTATGCAAGCGCTGCCGGTCCAGCAGGGTGCGCCGGAACCCCTGGCATGAATTCTTCCCATGGTAATGCCGAAAGGACAGCATAGGCCCAAGGGCCCCTTAATCTCTCGGGTGTAGTGCAAGAGCAACGAAAGCCAACCCACAAAATATAATATCTATCCTCTGCAAAATTGACACATAATGTGCACGGCCTATTCCCTTGATACCACCGATCTCACTAAACACGCAGAAAAGCCTGCCTGCCTGGAGCAGAGCTCATATGCGCGAGTAACATACCAATCGCTGTAGTGATTGGTCTTGGAACTAATCTGCATTCAATGGAAAGATCATTGGCCCAGCTAATGGGTGCTGAGGAATGCATTAGGTAAAAAATGGCACGCTGTTAAATGGATTCGCTGTTCTGAAACAACTAGGTTCTAGGGTAGCTCCTGTCGCGCTGTCGCCTTCAAGACCAGCGTATTCCCTAACAGTCTACGACGCCCTACAATCAGGTTGCGCCTTTTAGGTAGACGTCTCTCGCGGGTTGCGCTGCACCGAAGGGGGGTGTGACTGGAAGGAGACCGCACCCAGCCTTCTAGCACGATTTCTATTCTTTCTTTCCGTCCACCGTAAGATTATTCAAAAACGTCGTTCTTCGTTATGCATTGGCCCTCGCCGGTAGCCTCACCCGGGGCCCAACCACGGGCCTTCCAGGCACCTGTGAGGATTCTCGCTCGTGATAAGAATATCGCACCCGTTAACTCCTCCGCCTCCTCCTCCTCCAGCTCCTGTAAGCAGTTCGCTCACAGGCCGTTGCTTTGAACTGAAAACTTTCGGTTCGCTTGAGCTCCTCTAGGCAGCCTACAACACGGCCATGGCCACAACAACCGCCGCAGCCGTCAGCAGCAGCACCAGAAGCTTCTGGCCAACGGCCCCTCCCTTCAGCTGTTGCCTGCGTCGGCCGAGTTGGCGAATGGCATGAGAAAAATGAAATGCGGCATGGGGTGCGGAACGGAACAAAATCAATGCAGGTATGAAATGCACGGAAACAAAAGTCGATTCCAAACGCGAAAGCTCGAGCCGAGCACCAAACGCTGCGAATGCACACACGTGCGCGCGCATACCATGCCTAAGTCTTCTTCTTCCCAGCACAGTAAACGCCCGTGAGAGCGGCATGGAATCTCCAAGGCCCACACCGACGAATCTATACCTCCCAATGCTGTGCGGGCTGATGCCATAACGGGTGACCCAAAGGCCCGCAGCAGAGTTGTGACGATTTACAAATTGGACATCACCCTTTCAAAGCCCGATTTGGCATTCCGACCACAGCGATGCTGACAGCGCAACTGAACTCAAGCCGCCCCCTCGGGGAGCTGCTGCACTTAGGGTTTTCGGCTCTCGCTCGTTTCGGCTGCTGTGCTTAGATGTGTTAAGAAAGGAGCGAGCCTAAAGAACCAAATGCAGCAGCTCCCCAACCTATTTGCTCAAGCTACTCCCTCGCTCACTGGACTGCGTGCCGGGCGTTCGCAGGGCCACAGGACGGCCGCCTGGAAAGCGCCTCTAGTCCTGACAGTAGCCCTGCTGGCCCAAGCCCCCTCTTTATGGAGCAGGCAGGCAGCTGCCCTCGCAACGCCTCTGGCGATGCGTGTGGCAGCAGCGACGGCGGGCTACCCGGCGGCGCCTGCAGTAAGGACTTCTGCATCTCCAGGACTCGGTGTAGGAAATGCTGCACGTCTTCCGAGGCAATGCGGGAAACTTGAATGACACGGCCGCACGGCAGTAGTACCTGACAATGGGAGCGGCGTACGGGTATGCAGGCTAGTGCAACCGCTGGGATAGTTATCGGTGGAAACAGCCGCGTAGGGCGGGCGGGCATCCATGCATATACGTGCGAACATGTACGAATGGCCAACACGCTGGATTATATACGAAACGAAAAGAGATTTGCAGTGCAGATTTACCAGATGGCTTTAGTACCAGGTTTTGCCGTTCCTTTCAGTGCCAGGACATGGCCCAACCCTCGGCGAAATTTAGTCAATACTGGACAATCCGGTAAATCGCCAGCCACCAAATGTGCTTCCCAATCAAGGGCCTCTCACTCTCATGCAATGCAAGGAAAGTCAACTAAACAATTAAACAATCATGAACATCCTTGTAAGCAAAATGCCCATTGTAGCCTTCAGATAGCTCCACACCCTGCACCGTGTTTGGGGTTCCAAGGCAAACCCAACTGCAGACCTATCAACAAAGTTTTGGTCAATGCTGCACGCGGCGCTGGCCGAATACGCCAGACACCTTAGCTTCGTTATTACCGTTACCTGCACAACCACCTGCTGTACGGCACCGGCGCCCTTCACAGCCGGACCAGCCCATGCCGCGCTGCAGTTCGGCGCTGTTGCAACTACCGCTCTGGCACCGGCACCCGCGCCGCCGCCAGCAGCACCAGCACCAGCACCACCACCAACAGCCATGCTGCTGGTACTGTTGACCCCGTCCTTGCCCGTACCCAAAGCAATGGCACTATTCATGGCTCCTGTCCTCGTCTTCAGGTGAAATGGAAGCCTTGACGTCATTTGGACCTCCACTACAGCTCCGGCTGAGATACTGTGATCAGCCAAATCCAGTTCATCGACCAGCGGCCGCCCCTCGTGCATGAGACGCCAGTGGCTGACCACTGGGAGGTCACATTACATGCCGCAGAGTCATGAGGGGATGGGACGCGGGGGATATAAGTGAGGAGGGTTGGGGCTGAGCGTGCAGGTAAAGACTTACAACTCTTCTACTCCTTGCATGAGGCAGACGACGTCTCATGGCCGTTTCATGTCTGTTCTCATGGCCGCGACTCAGTTCGTTATCAATCACCGTCATGCCCGGCGTTTCCCCCCTGAACTCCTGGCACCCTCGTCAAGCCCATGGCGCCTCGCGACCGCCTGTAAGCTGGGCGCGCAGCCTCAACAGCAGCCGATCTCCCCCTTAGGATGTTAGCAGCTCACCGCTACAACCCAGGGAGGCGGCGATACCCGCTTTGAGCTGAGAAACACTGGTGCCACCGCAAACCCGCACCGCATGGAAGCGACCTCGGAAGTCCCGTACGGTAATTTCGAAGGGCTGCATGTTGATGGCTTGGACGTTGAGGGCTGCTGTGTCGGCAACTGCGGGCTCTGAGGTGAGCTCTTGAGCTTCGCCAGCTGGCTGCAGTTGGCTGGTTGTATCTTCGGCCGCGCCGGGGCCTTGCGTTGCTAGCGGTTTAACGCGCGCCTCCAGGGGAAGAACAAACCCGCTTCCGTAAGCACGATCGTAAATCTGCCGTGCTGCGATTGCCAGCATCGCGTGTCGGCTTGCGTCTGCTGGCCCGATGGGAATTTGTGGGCTTGGCTCCGCAGACAGAAGGCGGGAACTTTTGACGCCGCGCCCCAAGTTCCAAGAATCTTCATCGTTGAGAGCACAGCTCCTAGCGCCAACAGAATTAAATGGAGTATGCTCGTAGGCTGTTAGGGTGTAGTTGCGAAGCACGACATCAGCTGCGTTTTCCAGGGGCGCGCCAGCCGCTTTCAGATCACAAAGTACTCGCGTCTTCAAGCTTTGTAGATTGCTGATGATTGATATGTCATAGCAAAAGAGTTTTCGGTACGTTATGCCTGCAACTGTGGCGTCCACCAGCAGGTCTATTGGGCCCTGCTGTGACATATTGCAACAACTTCAGTCAGCGGCAATACACACAGGAAGTGAGGTGCAAGAAGCAACCGGCCTTGACGTTGATTCGCCGAGGCACGTTGCGGAATCTTCTTAGGACTTCAGTTGTTTCTCCCGTACATGCCCGTACCAGGAAGCTTTAAACCGTTATGGCTGGAGTCAGCACCTACCCTAGGAAAAAACGTGTATTTTAGCCTAGATGAAAAACAGCAAACGGACGTCGGCCGCGTATGGGTAGTTGATTGATTGAAAAGAGGGGGGTCCTTGTGAAGCAGCTGCCCGCTTTTCCAAAGCACGTATGGTGTTGGATTGTAAGGTGCCCAAGTACGTTTGCGAGGAAGAGAATGTGGCCAGGCTGGAGAGGAAAGTGCAGTGGCATATTGGAATGTGAGATTGGCGCACGGGCGAATTTACGTGCATACCTTTCACCGTAGCATCAGTCCTCAGTTCACTTTTTGGAACGAACATCAGCATAGGTCCAAGCCCTCTCGCTTGGAGGGATATGCAAACAAACATCCTGATAGGGGTAAACTCGCACGCTACCGAGCATTCAACCGAGCACATGCATGCTTAGTTGAATGGTGAGATGCGACCCCCCCCTTCATTTCGTGCTCGGCAAGCCTGCCACCGCGTACCGGATATGTTAGCGATGTTACAGAGACGCTGCACCTTGGTTTCTGTGCGCAATGCGTACGCTGCTCGACCCCGCCGACCAAAACTACACGGCCCCCGGGCCTTGAACTGCGCGATGTAGAGGGCCTCCATCTTTTGGGCCAGAGCAGGATTGGCGGTGCGCAAAGCGTATGATGGTCGACCCCGCCGGCTAAAGCTACACGTCACCAACTGAAGGTATTCTCGGTGGTTTACCAGCAGGTGTTGTGCTTCTTGCTGTCTGATGTCCTGAACGCTTCCTCTTCCCGCAGCCGTTTCAAGCGCCCAGTCTTGCAAGCTACGTTGTATGCTTTCATATCTTTTCATATCTTATTCAGCTCAGGCTAAGCAGCCAGCCAAAAGTCCGAGATGCATACCGCTTGTGACTGCGGCCAACATGCCCTGACGAGCGGCCTTTCGCCGAAAAAATTACATACACTTTTACAGGCGCATTTTGAGAATTGAACGCGCGCATCCGCACGGCAAAATTCGCTCCTGGCTTTTTTGGGACGATGTACGAACTGTTTTTGGGCACAGTACGACCGGACACATTTGTGCGAGGGGCTGCTTAACGAATTGGCAAGCACATGATTACAGTGCCCGCAGTTGCCTTAACGGTTTCTATAATATGCCCAAGAAGTGAGTAGAAGGAATGCCAAGCTCTCTCGATCAATGGAGCAAGTGGATTTTCACGAACAGTATAAGTTATCATTGTTAAAGACGGGCTTCTAACGACTATTAGTTCACCATTGAAATGCCCATGGTGCCTCGTTCCCGCGCTCCCTGAATTCTGCGACCAGACAGAATGAGAGTGAGGACCACGAATTCTTTAGGTTTCATAGCTAAACATTTGCAGGTCGACTCGGATGGATGCATCAGGGGTCACATGCAAATTGGAGACGTTGGTTGCAAACTGCCACGTTGATGTTTTAGTTATACATGCCATTGGACGGTTGAGCTCTAAGAAATTGGGAAGTAGTATCCCGGCAAAGCCTTGCTAGTTCAAATGTCCCATACAACCCCATTCATAACGACTCCCAAGCAGCCAAATCCGGGCCTCATGTCATTCTGCGAAATGGTGCCTTGAAACCTCTTGTACATACCTATCATCAGGCGCATGTCCCATCTGTCATAATAACATCTGGCATTATAATGAAAGTTCGTATTTGCCGTACACTCTTCATGGAGCAGCGGATATGGCGTCTCAGACAATCTCCCATGTTACAGTGTGTCGACCTATCCAACATGATCACCGGTGCTGACCGTCTCAAAGACTGTGTAGGCCGCAAGAGGCCTAAATTAAAGCTTACTCCAGGAGCATGAATTCCGGTGTGTATTAAGGTTAACAGCGATATAATTAAGTACACGCTCCGCTGCCACAGGCAATACCTATCGGTAAGACTCAGCGATGCCTTGCTAGGTAACGTTTCAAAAATGGGCACTCACGGACTCGAAGCAAATAAGTGAGATAGGCCTACAGCAGACCCACTGTCACAGCCAGGGACGACGACATGTGTATGTGTGTGTATGTATGTGTGTGTGCGTGTGTGTGTGTGCGTGTGTGTGTGTGCGTGTGTGTGTGTGCGTGTGTGTGTGTGCGTGTGTGTGGGGGGCCGTGTGTGTGTGTGCGTGTGTGTGTGCGTGCGTGCGTGCGTGTGTGTGTGTGTGTGTGTGTGTGTGTGTGTATGTGTGTGTGTTACATGGTTGGGGGTGCGTGACCCCATACCTGTAAAACTAAAATAATAAAAATGTGTATATGGATAACGCGCTGCTACACGTACTCGCGCACGTAGGTAGTTTAAATTAATAAAGCGTAGAAACACCGTCTGTAGAATGGAGAAGCGTCTACATCTATATGTACATAATATATATAATATAAATATATATATAGGCAATATGCTTTCAGGCCTATGCATAATAATACCATGGCACGGTCAACAGGTCATTCTAGACTATGATTTTATGTCTTTCGGTTCTATCTGTTATACGATGGTCCTGTCTATAGACCATAAAAATCTTTACAGAGGACAACCCGACGCATGCATGTAGACGAGGGACGACAACGCAAGCTCTGAACATATTTGATTTAATGCAAAGCAAACGGCCCAGAAACGGCACATCAGCAGGAGACGACACCCCGAAAAGGTTCCGCGGAATTTCCCGCCGTCCGTCCTTAGCAGCCCTGCCTGCTGCAGCATAGAACTGCAAGTGACCGCTTCACAGAAAAAACGAATCCTTTTGCAAGATTTTTAGCACCAAAAACAAAAAGCGCTTGCGTAACGAAAAGTGACAACTTACCAAACTCAACCCGAGGCCCTGTTGCCTTGCAGGACCCCGCCGCCGTTCACTACTGCTGTTGGGGTTAGTGCCTAGGCCCCAAAACACCACGCAACAAATATCCACGAGCAAAGAAAGCATCCGCCACCTTCGTCCTGCAAACCCGCGGCCGATCTATCTCCAGAAATGGGAGGTGTTACAGTGATTAAGACATTGTCGAAAAATCCTTGATCAATGTGATGGATCGTCCAGGCCTCTTCGTCCATTATCAACTACTGCTGCCGCTCGTGGTGTGGTGCATCACCGTGCTTTAGGGGAGTGAGGCAACACAGTAGTCCTTCCGGGCAAGAAGTCCTTCACTCTGGGAAAACGGGGGTCATTTTACCCGTAAATTTGGGTCAATCCACCCGTAATTTGACAGAAATTACGGGCCCGTAACACGTTACGGGTCCCGTAATTTGAGCACAAGGATACGGGTGAACATTTACGGGCGACTACCCCGGAATTACGGGTGGATATTACGCGGTGCTGCAGGTGAATTACGGGCGCATGTAACCAATTACGCGCACAATTACGGGTGAAGACCCAGTGATTACGGGTGCATATTACGCGGTGCTGCAGGTGAATTACGGGTGCATGAAACCAATTACGCGCACAATTACGGGTGAAGACCCAGTGATTACGGGTGGATATTACGTGGTGCTGCAGGTGAATTACGGGTGCATGTAACCAATTACACGTACAATTACGGGTGAAGACCCTGTTATCACGGGTTACATGGGCAGATATTACTCTGCGATGTGACGCTTACTGCGTGTTAAATTAACGATTGGTGAATACTGCGTCAAGCCTCAAGATGGACGCGAACCCCTTGTCAAAGTAGCCTAAGTCTCAGTATGCTTGTGGACCAAGGCGCTTTGGACTCACAACACCAACCAGCCAGCCTGACAGCCTGATGCATTCATCCCAACCATCGTCCTCGAAAACAGTGTTCATGTCACCCCCCATACAGCAAGTGCTCGCCAAGAAGTCTCACCACCACTTGCAGAGTTCGTGCCTACTGCTTACTCCTACGGATGAAACCCCCGATGTATGACATGTACCGGCACCTATTGGGATTGGTCTGTCCCATCCTGCCTGGGGCCGACCTGGTGTGTGCACCCCCAAGCGCTCATCACTGCTGCCATGTTACTGCTCGCTTCCACCACTGCCACTGCTGCCACTGCCACTGTTGCTGCTGCTAGCTTCGCTATATTTGCCCGTGTCCTCCGAGCTGGACTCCTCCCCAGCGCCAGCGGCTAGGACCTCTTCCTCACCAGCGTCCGACCCACCCTCCGAGCTACCCTCCTTCGTCCGCCCCCTCCGCCCTCCCTTGCCTGCGCCGCCCTTCCCCGCACCTCTGGCGGTCCCCTTGCTTGCACCCCTGCCCCGGCCTGCGCCCTTGTTCCCCTTCTGCCGTTTATTTCCAACCTTGCGCCCCGACCTCGCACCCAGGTCGTCGTCATCACCGCCACCCCGCCTGTTCTTGCCAGCTGCGCCCTTAGCCGCTCTTGGCACCTTGCCGACCCACTCCTTGAACGCATCGTACTTGGTGGTATCCTCATCCTGGGGGGGGGGCAGCAACACCCAGTGCTTACGTTCAAGGTGAAATATCAGAGTAAGACCCAACAAGCTGCCCTGACGTTGAACGTTGACATAGCCCATCAGCACCCCTCGACCTTGTTCAACATGCTCCCCAGGTTCCAAAAGGGTTACAAGGCAGCCCTGGTTGCAAGCAGTCCGGAAACAAGCAAACACGCCTCACCTGAATCGCATCGTTCTCTCCAGACACCCATGCCTCCTCGGCTCCACCGCCTGTGTTGCTCTCCACGCACCCTGTCCCGCACCCAGTTCTCCCGCCACTGCTGCGTCCACACCCTCGACCACCGCGCGTGCCAGCGGCGGTTCCGGATCACCCACGGCCGCACGTGCCGCCAGCGGCACCTGTGACCTCGACTGGGGCCTGGGCTGTTGCCATGCCCACATCCCCACCGGTCCCTACGGTGGCAGGGCTGCGCACAGCGCCGGTCCCGCCACCCCTGGGACGCATGGCCTGGGCAGTTTCAGCTGCTAGGTTTGCTACCTGGGCAACGCCCGCCTCGCCCTGCCTGGGACCCGTGCCGGTGTCCCCCCTTGCGGTTGCTGCTGCTGCGACGCCTGCTGTGCGGCCGCCACCCGTGCCGCCATCCACGGCATGCGCGCCCATGGCAGCAGCCTCTCCGCCACCCACCGCCTGTTCGTGGTCCCCGGCGGCTGCTCTCGCTGCTGCACCAGCACCGTCGTTAGCCGCAGCATCCACCGCCTCAGCCCCCAGGATAGCACGCCACAGGGCAGGCTCCCCCTGAACCGCTTGACTGCAGCGTTGACATCCTCGTGCGTGGAGAACTTCCTCAGAAAGCTTGTTCTCAATGCTGTCCCGGTAACGTCAAAGAATGGAGGCGCTACCTGGACCTCACCGCCGTCTGTGTAGGGCATTGTTAACGAGACAACATCGCCTGCTGACCTGACGCCTGTAGCACCGGCCATGGAGCTCACCCTTTCCCTTGAAGTAATAAGTTGCATTCTGCTTCTTGAAAATGCTCGCTGATATCATGTTACCTCCCAGCTCAAAACTAAGCGGTATCACGTTTTGGCTCTGCTGTTCATAGGATTCCCCTAAAGCACACCGGAGTTCAATACTTCCGGGAAAGTCTTGTTCCATTTTCCAGCTTATGGAACTATAGAGTTGCACTTGTTCAGGTCAAGACGGCGCGGAAGCTATTGGTCTGTCCTGTATCCTAGAGTCGTGGCTAGTGTAAACTGTATCAGGTATAACAATGGAATACAAGAACATAGAGAGCGAGGCAGGTCGTGATAAGACTTGGCTGATGACATGCAAGTATACAAGTACGGCGCCCGTCGATGGTCGTCGCAGGTCGTCGCAGTTCTGGGTCTGCCCCAGGGACTCGGTGATTGGAGGCCCGCTTGGACACAAGTATGTCTTGCCGCGGAATGCCACCCTGGGGACTTCCCTCAAGTTGCCGGGTGACGGCGGTAAACTGGACTTCATGTTTATGAAGCTGAAGGTGTACTCTGTCTACTGTGTCCCTGAGGGAGAGGTTCCTGGTGGGTGGGTGAAAGCTACGGTGCCGAGCCTAAAAGATGTGTACGGGGGGAGCGTCAAGGAAAGCCAGCTATTTACACCCGAAGCGTTGCTGACGGAAGCACTTTAGCTTGGAGGGCGGAAAGGAAGAGTGTCACACGGCAGTATACTTGGTGAGTCTGGAGCCCACTGTAACAATCACACACACAATATACACCATAGCGGACGTAGAGCAATCCGTTTTAGTAATCAGTAGCAGCAGCTAACCCGGCAGTCCGTTCCGAATCCGTCACAGGTGGGGCGCTACGCCAGCTACGGCGGCTACTTCGTCACTTTTGTCCGTTTGCCTGCATACTTGCTTCCAGTGATAGACATACACATTGTAAGCTGGCGCACGCGGGACACCAAGCAAGAAGCAATAATTGGGATACCGCGGAGGGGGAGGCCGGCTATCCGGCGTGTCTGTTGGAAGCTTCAGCAGCACTTCGTTGCATTTGTTATGTCTCTCACCATTCGACAATCCGGACGGCCCGCCTTGACGCATACGTATCCGCCGCAGTTGCGATGGCCAACCAATATCCTCCACTACGAAAAAACAAGCCGACATACCCGCTGCCGCTGCTCATACTGCTGTACTTTGTGGCGGCGCCGCAAGCTCCAGTAACGGCGTCACAGCAGCTTACAGCCAATGCCCAAGGTAAGTACAGTCCCGTCGGCAAGCAGCTTGAACGGGGCCCCTCAATGCCATCAACAGTACACTCGCTTGGTCGTCAACCTGATCCGTCTCGCGCGTTTAGGAGTTGAGTATGATGCACACCAATAGGGTAGTCGTGGGGGTAAAGGAGCGCGTTGACTGGTTGTTTAGTAGACCTCTACCCGAAGGAGCGATGATAACGGCACTAAGAGAGCGTTTGATGAGCGGCTGGGACTATGCGCGTCTGACTGTCTTGTCAGAGGAGTACCCATCAGATGGGAAGCAACCGGGAGTGCAAATGGCGAAGTGTAAGCACTGGATGGGGCTGCCCTTTTCGGAAGCCGCAGCCGTCATGTGGCCAACACATGCTAAGGTTTTCATTCCTCGTTTACACATCGTAAGCTAATGCAGTTTCGTTTATGTTGCTGGGCTTTGGAGGCAAACAGAGCACGAAGGGGCAAGTACCATGTCCCCAGGGGGCAGCGGTTTTGCCACTGTTGTGGTACTAATAGCCGAATCGAGGATGAAAAACACGTGTTATTGGAATGCCCAGCCTATAATGATATTCATGCTGGAGAGGGATTCGATCATCAACAGAGCATGTTGGAGGCCATGAAATGGGAATCAGTACGTCTGGCGAGGATGTTGGAACGTATGTGGGCTCACCGAAACTCAGTTATCCCCTTTGAACGCTAGTCTGCGGTGTTTCCTTTTCTCCGTGGCTTTTAGGCGTTGTAGTATTGCCCTTGGGCCTTCGGCACGTATGGGTAGTTTTACAGGTATGGGGTCATGCACCCCCCAGCCATGTAACACACACAAAGGGGAAGAGGAAGAAAAATTCCTTGTGTGATGTACTGTTGGCCACCACTTCAAGCGCAACCGAATGACCGGTGGACAACCTGGTCCAGATCGCGGGTGTAAGACCCGGGCCAGACCTGCCGGGAGGGATCATGTGAACAGGTAGGAGCACACGGGTGCAAGTAAGGCTGAAGTGGAAACAGCGTTTGGTTCCTTGTGCTGAGTACTGTCGGCCATTACATTCAGCAATGTGTGCCTGGTGCAGGAGCTGAGCAGCTATTGTGTCAGCTACGACTGGTAGCTTGCTGAAGGCGAGCTGGCAGACACGGAGGGTGGCAGCACGACGCGACATGTATTGAAGAAGCCCTCTCGTCGCAAGGGGGCTGATGCAGACTTAACACAGAAGCGCCAGCCGCGACAACAAAAGGTCAAAGAACGGGTGCTGGCCGAAGCGCTGGCCGCTGTGGACGCGGCCATTGGACTCGGGCAGAAGTCCGGGCGTCGAATCAAAAGCACCCGAAAGGAGACCTCCTTATACTGAATGAATGGGGTGTTACACTGTGCCGGGCCACACCACAGTGCAGGGCAAGGCACGTGTTTACATCTCTTCATCTGTGAGAATATTTGGATGAATGAATATATGAATGAATGAATGAATGGATGGGATGAAAGGGGTGTTATATCGTGGGCGGCTCGCCATGCACACAAACCTCTGGTTCGGGTAGGTTCGGGTGGTGGTACCTTTTCGTTGCACACACACACACAATGAATGTATGAATGAATGAGTACGGAGTATGGAGTACAGTAACCAGGCGTGTAGGGTTCCTGCCACTTCCTGCCCCATGTACCGGAATCGATACCGATGCAGTACGCACGAGAGGTACTTGTGAGTGCTCCCCTTACAGAGTTTCGTAAAGTTCCTTCAACTCCCGCGATCCTGGACGCCTGCCTGAGAGTTTCCGGGCCGACCCCGCAATTGGTCGAAATTGCTCGGTACAAGGGTTTAAATTGGCACGGGGGCTACACCCGGGACAAGTTATATTGCCGGGACAGGCCCTTGAAGTGGCCTGAAAGGGACATGAATGGGCCTGGCAGGGACATTCCGACAGTCAGCATTGGCCTGTTCGGGTTGTCGAATTAGGGAAGCACAGGAATTGTGCGACCGGGGCAGCCCAAAGAATTGCTCTTCCCGACCTGGTGTCCTACCCTCCCTGAAGGGAATCAATTCGCGGATACGGACAACCAACTCGAAGGGTTCTCAAACTGAGTTTTGACTGCCCGTAAACCGACAACTGCAACAAACGAGGTCTTGTATCTACCTCTTCTCGATCCAAAGCCTGGGCTGGACGCCGCTCAACGTTACACTGCTAAAATACCTTCCGCTGCATTCGAACGAATCTCGATGCTCTCGGTATTCATCATTAAAATATATATCTCCGTATCCAAATGTCTAAGGGTCGAGGTAGTGGCCGCGCAGTAAGCAGTCCCTGCACGCAAAATGTCTGGATTACATCCTGGCGGGCGGCCGCCCGCGCAGCTAGGTATTGAGACCAAGTTACAGAGCTCTATTAGCCATACTCAAGTACCATATAACAGTACTACGGTACGACATCACCGCAACTGTACGCCGTACTTCGGACACTTTACCGTACTACGGTACTACCATGCTACGTTGCCGCTTCCGTACACTGTACTTCATGCCTCTTCACCTTCGTACTATCTCAGATTACACTTCAACACGTCATCATGGCTCATCCACATCCTTCCAGTCCAACTCTGTTCCTGTCTTCCAGCTCGGCAGCAGTGCAAGGCGATGGATGGGACGTATTGAGCACTTCAGCCACCTGCATGGTTGGGAGGCGGCTGCATTGCTTGATGTTTGCTGCTTATCAATTGGGAGATGAGGTTAACTGCTGGTAAGCTGGAATCGAGGCCCTTGTCCAAGACTGGCCCGCATTCAAGGCCGCATTACTGCACCGTCGTATCCGCTGCAGGCAGTAGCATGGAGAACTGCCCATGCCTATGCTGACCGCTGCCGTCAGGACCTGGCTTCCCAGCTGGGTGTGAACATCCGGCAGGCTCTGATCCACATGTACAATTTCCTAGGAAGACTACCCGCTAAAATCTACAGCAAGGCCCTTCTGATGACCTCCCGTGTACCCGCATCAATGCCAATACAACGTCCATGGCCCCCTCCCCCGGCTTTTACGGACACACACCCGCACTTGCGTGCGCCGAACTTGTAACTTGTATCTAACGAAGTTACAGTCAGTCACTGGAAGAAGCCATCCGCAACGCCATCTATGTTATAGCGAAGGAATGGAGCAGCAACTCATTGCTGAAGGCTCAGAACTTTATAAACTCTCTTGCCGTCGCACTGATGATGTTCGTGGTGGCGTTGGGGACGTTGGGACATCGGGATAATCGCCGTGAAAAAGCACCGTGTGGGCCGTTTCCTACTCCAACCCAGCCTATAACGGACCGTAACAAGGGACCCTGGCCTTCCCGGCCATCCTTGCGACCCTTCGAGAGCCTCGTGGACAGGAGAACAGGCCTGACGTCCAGCCCAGGAATACACACCCTCGCCCCGAAGCCCCAGAAGCTCCCGATGGAGGATGTCTGGCTGCCCAGATCGGTGACTTAACCAAATAAATGTCCAAGCTTGCTTTGTTTATTATTTCAAATGCTCAGGCACAGTACTTCGAACCTGTCTTGTATGAAGGTCCGCGTTTGGCAAAAATGGATCGATCAACCTGCATACCACACATACCTTGGTGAGGCTTGTGTGAAGCGCGAATCTGGTTTCGGCGTGGCTGTGGCTGTGGCTGTGGCTGTGGCTGTGGCTGTGGCTGTGGCTGTGGCTGTGGCTGTGGCTGTGGCTGTGGCTGTGGCTGTGGCTGTGGCTGTGGCTGTGGCTGTGGCTGTGGCTGTGGCTGTGGCTGTGGCTGTGGCTGTGGCTGTGGCTGTGGCTGTGGCTGTGGCTGTGGCTGTGGCTGTGGCTGTGGCTGTGGCTGTGGCTGTGGCTGTGGCTGTGGCTGTGGCTGTGGCTGTGGCTGTGGCTGTGGCTGTGGCTGTGGCTGTGGCTGTGGCTGTGGCTGTGGCTGTGGCTGTGGCTGTGGCTGTGGCTATGGTGCTATCCCACTTTCAGTAACTTTTGCGCCCGCCAAGAATATTCCTTCTATCGGGCGGGCTATCTATGAGCGCACAGACCGCTAAACTGTTTCCCCTAATCTCTGTGTGTGTGGTCGCTCAAGCCGCGCCAACCTAGCCTTCAGCCGTACGCTGAGGTAGGGTCGCAGTCCTATGCAAAAACTGGGGTGAGGTAGTTTTTCCGAGGGCACAAAACGACTCTCGCTATGCAAGAAATCAAGGCGTAAACCGATGCGGCCCTGCGCGGACCCTGACACGCGGTTTATAGTCAGCACCGCCATGACAGTGAACAGGTGAGTTGAGCAACTAAACGAAAGGAGGGGATTACAACCGTGAAGACAGATTGTAGGTGTGTAATGGGTGGCTTGTTGCCAAACCAAAAGCCATAGGAAAGGAAGTGGGTTTGTCAGGCTTCAGCTCGTACTATGTACGATCATATAACTGCGGCTCGCACAACTCGTGAAACGAGCGATCTGAAAGTATCTGTGTCATGAGTTTCCTTCATGGACGGGGCAAAGGCTGATCCATACGTCAAGACGGCGACCGTTTATATATGTCACGTGTGCTATCTGGCCTGCGCAGGAATGGCCCATGGGTCACGGAGCGTACTTGGTTCTTGCGCGTGTGCGTACCGGAAAAAGATTGTTTTACACCTTTTGTATTACATGTCCTAGACCTGGCAAACGAAGGCCTAGGGACGAGGTGGCCACGTTCGGCTCCAGCCCGCGCTTTCGCACACACAAGTTCGTAGTTTTATGATAAACGTAAGGACTATTTGTTACAGAAATACTGCATTCCAAAAGGTATCTCATGGATTTGAGAGACTGTGGCCTCGTCGTTTTCCTGTTTGATCATTGAATCATCCAAAGCGAGCAACGTTCCTATTGAATTCTTGGCAACATTACCAATCCAATCGCGCACAGGACACTACGTAACATTAGGTATTATACTATTGTGCATTTATTCTGTTGAGACGTTCAGGGTTTTTTGAACAGCATAAAGACCATCGCGGCGGCGTTGCACGCGAAGGGCGCTCATCGCTATGGCCGCACCGGCCACAGAGCAGAAGGCATGGGAAGGTGGCGTTCTTCTGTATTGTGGTGGAACCGACTATGCGCAGGTGGGGGCGTGGACTCTACCGTAACTTGCAGCCAGATGTGCGCGCGCTGTGAACCGTCTTTTCCTTTCCCACAGCTCGGCCGCACAGGAGGGAAAACAAAGAAGGAAGATTTGGACAAGGAGTCACAGTATCCAAACTTGCTCCGCCCCACTCGGTTCAAGACCTTCAATGTGAGCGTCGCGGTGCTCGGGGTTTGAATTTTCCTAACGCTTCCGGTGAATATGAGTATCTGGCTATTAAAGTAAATTATGCTTCACACCTTGGAACGATGCACGTCACAGGATGTCAAGGTTATGTTCATCGCAGCCGGGCCTGCTGCTTGCCACTGCTTTGTTGGAGATTCAGCGGGCAATCTTTGGAGCTGGGGCCGCAACGAAGTAAGGGGGGAAAACTGCTAGCGCTAGGCCAGCTTTGGAATTCCATACTGTGAGCAGCGCTGTGCTGTAACCCTCGTCTGCCCTGTCCTGGCCTGCCTGGTGAGCCCAAACGGCATGGGACATTCTCACCTGTAATCCGCGAAGTAGTGTTGCTTCTATTTAAGAAGCAGGATATGAGCTTATTAGTATTTAGAGTCCGCTTGATTCCTGGCGAGCATAGCTTTGCGCGGTTTCACAATATTTTCCTGTCCGGCACTGCCCACTAACCACGCAACACTCGATGTTACACCCTCCCACTTCTGCATCGAAACAATGCCATTACACACCACATTACAGAAAGGGCAACTGGGCCACGGTGATTTTGCCCAGCGCAACGTGCCTGCGAAGGTGGCTGGCTTGGATGGAAAATTTGTGATCGGAGGTGAGGAGGGGGGCCGGGGGAGGTGGGGTTTGTGGTTGGAGGGAATTCGCCGCTGTTGGAAGATGACCGCGGCCGCCCACTTGGCTTTCGGCGTCTTGGTCCCCAGGCCGCACCCGCACTGCTATTACACCTCCCTCCTCAAATGGGCAGCTCAGGAGGTGGCGCACACCACCCGTATTGGCTATATGTCTGTGGGGGCACTTTCGGGGGCTACCTACCTGAATGCCAACACTCCCCGAAAGCTCACATGGCATAACACCGGCATGCGTTCATAGGGCTTTTTTCGTTTCCTTCTCTATGGAAGGAGCGGACTCATCTTGCTCTTCTCCTGTGTTCTTTGCCTCCATTATAGCTCCGTTGTAAACTTTTGCGTAAGTCAGCGGATTAGCTAGCTGCGCCACTCATTACGTTGCTTTGGCAGCAGAGATGCCTCGCATTCACGGCGTGAGCTGACGGTGACTAATAGTCAGATATGATCAGTGCCAACTGTCAGTGACCAAAAGCCCTTTTTGAGGTGCAATAAGTAAGAACTACTTGTCATACGGCAGCAGCACACCGTCACAAAGTGGTGTACTTGTGTACACAAGTACGGAAAACAAGCAAGCTCATTTTTTGCAAGTTTTGGGAGCTGCTTCGGGCAGCTGTTTTGGTGCTATTTGCGTCTACCTTGAATAGTTCGTTTGTGGACCTTCCGTCCATATGGGTTTCTCCCTTGTAAAGATCGCCCCCGCCCGCCCTCTCCGCAACAAACACACACATCATACGATAGTATTCCCCGAACGTATCCCTTTGCCGAATGGAGGGTCGACTGTGGTAATTCGCTGCTCTCTTCTCTGCTGTAGTGTTCCTGCCCTACCCCGGTGATCGGCGCTTATAGTTCTGTGAAGTTCCATGTTCCTTTGATGCTTGTCGCATTGAGTTCATGGTAACCATTCAACGGCTTCACGGTGATAGTACCAAATATTTCGTGGTACCCCTCTACTGCTTCATATCTTCCTCCTTGTCTCCCTTCCTTTCTGCATTGCCCATGCTGCAGCTTCCGGCGGCCGCAACCATAGCGCTTGTGTATGCCAAGATGGCAGCTCCTACGCCTGGGGCATCAACCAACACGTAGGTCATGTCATGTTGAGCTGTGGTGTAGACGATAGGCCGGGGAACGCTGGGTAGAAATTGGGGAAAGCGGCGGTGAAGGCCTTCTGGCAATATGAAGATGTTATCCAGAGAACGAGTGGTGTGGTCTCTTTAGCACATGTAGGGTTACCGTGATGTCGGGTGGAGTGAGGGCGGAGGGGTTAAGGTTTACAAAGAAGGCAAACACAACGCCGGCGTGGCCTCAACCATCCTGCACGAAGTGAAGAATGGATGTCTTAGATGTCCCGAAAGAGTTTCCTTTGAATTCGCGTCAATGAGGGTTGTTATGGGTGAACTGGCGATTAGGCGGATTGGTGAATTTAGCCTTTCGCCACAGGCTTTCTTTGCATTTTGGCGGACCACCAAAACAAGCTGAAGTGACCCTAAGTTCTAAGTGGCTTCGGTGTTGCGATACATGTGAGCATCTCTTTAGGGAGAGTCACTGGAGGGATTGGCAACGCGGCAACTGCAGCTTTCCGCTGGCTCCAGAAGCAGCCCCGGCTGTTATTGTTAGCAGCAACAACAACACGCGTGGGACCAGTTTTACGTGCTTTCCATATGAGCTGCCGCCGCTGGAACCGCTGGCACGTATGGCCTACCCCAGACTTGGCGTAATGAGGAAGAGAGGAAGAGACAGAGTAACCGACTTTTGGGGGGGGGTGTTACCCACGGCTGTCCTTGGATGAGAAGAGGGGCCATTACGTGGGCCGCAGAGTGATAAAGGTTGAAACAAGAAACATGGCAAGGGACAGACTTGAGGGAATGGGGAACAAGATAAACGGTAATATAACGATAACGATTTGCAAAGCTGTAATTTTTCATCTGGCAGAGTATTGAGTATGCCTGTCCACATGTTTAGTGTGACTCTTGTGTGCTTGTGTGTGCTCTTTCCAGACCCATGTCTCACGCGTTCTTTCTTTCTTCGGCAGGGTCAATGCGGCACAGGCTCGGTCAAGCCCGCTAAGGCGCCGCTCAAAGAAGGTAAGTTGTTTGCGTGGGCAGAACTTGAGTGTTCTATTGTTGTAAACCTTCGCACAGGTCGTGTATATCGACAATTTTGGAAGTAGTGTCGAGTGGGAGGAACAACACGGCATATTGTAAGCTTAGGCATATGTATGGATTTTCCATGTCTTGCTTAAATTATTTTCGGAGCTGGGAAACTCAGTAGTCAGTTGCTGCTACGGCGGCTTGTTTAAGGGAGTGTCTGATATTAGGTTATATTCGTCCCAGACAACCCTTTCGCGCAATGCCCTGGCGGAGTGCATTGGGGCATTTTTAACATTTATTCCTGTAGCAGGGGCATAGTTGGATGCGACTCCTCGCGTCAACACCATCGTGCCATGTCATCATCGTGTTACCGTGTCGGAGACCCGTTGGCCATTTTCCATTTTTCCGCCCATATCAGTTCAGAGGGAGCTGAATTGTTTGGAACTTCGTTACAAGGTGCCGCATGTGCGATTCCACTTTTTCGAAAAACACGATTGGTGTTCTGCAATCCATTCTTCGGCTCCTCAACCGGCTCCCCCATGGGACTTGGATTTGGTCCTGATATTCGCAGGGTAATGTTTGTTATGCTTTAAAAAATGCAAGCTTGGGACTGTTTCAGATGTTGCTTGTCTTTTTTCGCTGAACGTTCCCCTCGGTGCAGACATCATCCTGACGCCGACTCGCTGCGTTATCGAGAACTGCACTCAAGTGGCGTGTGGCATCGACTTCACCATGTGGTTGTGCGGCGGCCGGGTAGGAAGGAGGGCCGTGCCGAATCTAATTCCCGATGACTTTGGGATCGCTGTATTTTTCTTTTAGCAAAAAGGAGTAGGAACGGCTGACGAGCAACTTCATGGACAGTTGTTTTGGGGTATTTTTTGGTGCGTGGGCATGTGACGATTGTGACGGCATATTGCTAGATCACTAGGGAAATGTGGGTTTGAGCGGAAAGGACAGAATGGAAGCCGTATACTGGGTGGTTTCGGAGCTGTCACTTCTGTCGCGCGGAGACTGTGGGCCGCCAAGGCTTCTCCCCTCGTGTTCCATACATGTGCCTATGACTGGAAATGCCGGCCTATTCCGGACAGGTGATGACGGCAGGCAACGGCCAGTACGGTGTGATTGGCGATGGAGTGGACCATTCGTACAATGCCAAGGACTGTGAGTGTGCGCGGCGGCGTGGAAAGAAAGGAAATTGGGTGAAGTACTGTCCGACGAGATCTCTTTTGGGGGGGCTGGTGTGTGCGCTTTCTCTTACAAGCACAACCTTATCAGTACCCTATAACCTTCGTACTTCCTGTTTCGTGCGGACCTCTTAGTCTTTCCACCCATATTATCTCCTTCGTCTGTTCTGTCGGCTTGGCTTTTATCGGCTTGGCTTCTGGCTTTTATCGCGTGTAGCGTTTCAGTATCATCCACGGCTTCGGGACCTGTGGCGCAGCAGCTAAATTATTTCAAAGTCCGTTTCTCAATTTCCTCCCATTCCCCTGTGTCCTTGTCCGTTACTCAACTTCATCCTAGTTTTCAATCTTTTTACCAGCCCTTCCCCTCCCTGATGTATCCGTTAGCTGTCATTAACCCCAATTTTCCTTCCCTTTCTGCCGGCATCGCAGCCAGCATCCAGATCCTGTATGAGGCTGTGGCAACCCCCCGCCGAGTAGCCGGACTTGACGACGTCACGGTGCTCAAGATCGCAGCTGGACACAACCACTGCCTTTGCTATGATGATCAGGGCTCCTGCTACAGCTGGGGCAATGGCGGCTACGGTCGGTTGGGACACAAGGTAGGGTATGGCCAAGGGGGGGGGAGGGTATGGGGAGGTGAAGTGCGCATCTGTGAGTTTGTGCGTGTCTTCAATGTGATCGGGTTGCAGGACAAAAGACCTGACTTGGTGGTGGTGAAGGTGCAACAGTTTGTCACTGTGGATGTGTGTATCGTTTGCCCGCGCCCCCGACGCCTGCTCTCGTCCTTCTGACGAATGCCGGGACTGATTTGATTTACGCTTATTTTCCACCGTTGATGATGCACTTAATCGACCCTTCCACGAACTTTTTTGCCGTCGCGTCTGTTTTCTTGTTCAACGTGCATGTGCCTCCAGATTCAGCAAGATGAGGACAAGCCCCGCAAGATCGAGGTCTTTACCCGCCGTAATTTGGTGCCCAAGGACGCCATTGTAGGTACACAGTATATTCCCAGACGCCCCGAAAAGATGCGGCCGACCGCACATGTGCCCGCCGTCTTTCATGGTAACCTAATAACCCTTTGCCATGTGCAGGCACGCGAACCCTGTCTGTCCACGGTGTGTCGTCTTCTGTTAGGTCCCCGACTCCCGCATTCCGCCCACCTTCGTCTTATCCTTGCGTATTGTGAATGTGTCCGCGAAAAAGGATCCCTGCCCCCTCGCCTGCTCCCCTAACCATTGCTCTGCTCAAGGTACCGACGGGGCTGTTGTAATCTGCATATTGACTCATGGCGTTATGTTTAGCTGCCCCACGTACCGAGTGTTCCAACTTGAAATCCGTAAACGCTGTCTCTCCCTCGAGGACAGCATCTGGATTCAGCGCTTTCCTATCCTTTGCATACGCGCTTGACGTGCTTCCTTCCAATTAGTCTCCCTCGCCCTGATCCTTTTTTCTCTTTCCGTTCCACCTCCCTCCTTCCCTCTGTGTCTACGACTGTCTGCCGCAGCTGGCTGCCGGCGGCACTTCTTCCTTCTGCACGGGTGTTGCGGGTCAGGTGCACTGCTGGGGCAAGCTCAAGGTTAATGGCGACAACCAAATGTGAGCTTCGCTGGAATGTGTGTGTGCGCGCGTATGTGTGTGTGTGTGGGGGGGGAGAAATCGTTTGTGGGGCTTTTCTGAAGCGGTGGGAAAAGAGGGCAATAGTATTTGCCTTGTAAGGCATCAAACAGCACTTCTATTGAGGCTCTTCTTACCCCCATTTTCAACTAGTAGCGCTTCACGCTATTCGTATTTGCCATACCTTTTTCGGGCCCTCTCTGGTTCCTATTTCTTCCTCCGGTTTTCTCCGGTTACCGCTTCCCTCTTTTCCCCTGCCCCATCTCCGCACACGTCGCACCGCAAGCTCGTAAAGACAAAAGGTTTTGCGCTTTTTCTCTTGTCCTTTTTGGATACACCCCTCCCGGGTAGTTCTCTGAATTATCTGGCACAAGGGTCTTCAGAAGCTGCCGCCGACTTTGAATTGTCGTGGCTTGGACAGGGCCAATTGAATCGCACTTTTTCGCATCATATTTCCCTCTCAATACACAACGCAGGTATCCCGTACCCGTGAACGACCTAGTGGGTTGGAACGTCCGCAGCTTTGCGTGCGGCCCGGGTACCTTTGCCGCGGCTGCCGACAACTCGGTCATCACCTGGGGTGCAGCCACCAACGGGGAGCTGGGATTTGGGCCCAACAAGAAGAGCTCTGCCAACCCAGCAAAGGTGTGTGTGAAAGGTGTGCAAAGGTGTGTGAAAGTTTACCTGCACGGCCGCGGGTCGATGTTGTGCTATGTATCACCAATACAGCACAACATGGTGTACAAATAAGCCCAGGTCAGGCGTGTGTGGCGGATGTATGTCTTCGTTTGCGCGTGGATAACGGGAGACGAGTGGCACTGGGGCGGTCGCGATTGGTGGGTCTACAGCAGAAGTGTTCCTTTGGCGTAGAGCTTTGTCTCCCCTGTGTCTCATTCGCATACACGTGCCGTGCTGGCCATTCTACCCCTATACACCAACATTCCACTTGCGTCTCCCGCCCTCCCCCGAAATTGACTTTACCCGCCAGTGTGAGCCGCTTGACGGGGGCTACACGCATCAGGTGGCCTGCGGTATTGGCTTCACGTTGTTCCTCGTGGACCCGGCTCATCCGAGGGTGCGTGTGAAATTTGTCCCCAACCCCCCCGCCTGGCCGGGGCCGTAATAGCGTGCGTGCGTGTGGATGTAGCTATCACGTGCACCCGTATCGTTCCTGCCGCGCCCCTCCTGTTCATCGTCCTCTTTCTCATTGGCCTTGTTACTCGTCTTGGTTGCTCAGTAGATTCTACTCCGAGGACATCAACCCCGATATGTATTTATAAGTAATTACGGGACCAGTGTTGAAAGGGTTGGGAGTTGCTAAAATGACGCGTCTTGGTTGTTATCGTGATACGCGTACCATCTTTTCACCTTCCGATCAATGGCCGTTTTGACTCGTTTCTGGTTGTAATAATTTCCAGATGTCCGTTTTGTTTCTTCCCCTCTCGCAACACCCACAGCTGGCTGAAACCACGGAGTGGGTGAGCTCCATCCCGGTGGAGGAGGCCCCCTCCCTGGAGGCCACCGCTGCAGCGGGAGCCAAGGGCGGCAACAAGCGCAAACCCGCGGGGGAGGCGGGGACGGCCAGCGGCGCTGCCAAGGCAGGAAAAAAGGCCAAGTAAGGGTGAATGAGGCGCTAGAGAGATGACAAAGGAATGTCAACAAGGAGGAACCAACTACGCCCACACATCTGAGTCTACTGGCAATTTACCTGTGCACGCGTGCGTCTTCTAAATGTAACCAACCCATAACACTTAAATTACTCCTTCTTATTACCACGACGACAGCTGCCGAGGGGCAGGAAAGGGGGAGAACCGGATCCGAGTCACGAGCTGCGTGTGTTGAATGGTGGTAGTGGCTGATGGTGATGGTCGTTTGGTGCTGGCTTGGACTGCGCTGGGCTGTGCCTGCTGGTGCCAGGAACGTCACCAGCGGCAAATGACGGTAAATGAGTGGTGAGACGGAAGGGAGGTGGGCCACCGACGGATGAGCATGGTGATATGGTCCGGAGGATGCGACTTAAGGGAAGTGCGGTGGTGGCAAAACGGAACTCTGTTGACTTGGCGCAGGGCATGACAGGCTAGGACGTGGCAGGACTGAGCGCATGGGAAGACGGGGCGAAGGTTTAATAATGAGGAGGACGTTTGTTGTGTCGAGAACCTGACTGGATGGATGGGTGGGTGAGAAGGTATGCGTATGTGGAGGATGTGCGAGTTCGTGCGAGGCCGGTTAACTCGGTCATTGCGCGTTGAAGGTCACATGCGTGCCGAAGGTGGAAAGGATGAAGCTGGTGGGTTCCTTCTATGTCGTTCATGAGCGGACTATATGACTAGTCTTACTTGGTGCCGCAGACGTACATGCCTTGACAGACCGATAAGCCCTGCTAGGGTTTTGACGGAAGAGGAGGATGTATATAGTCAGCTGAGGCGGCGGTGGGTCCTGCATGAATCATGCACATGTCCCCACGTGCGCTTTAATATGATGGTGCTGACGCAATGTAAAATTCAAAGGTTACATGAGCTGGTGACGTTTGTTGTTGGCGACGGAAACCGGCTTTCCGTCGTCTTGCCATTTCACGTCATCGTCGTGTCGCTCTGGTTGTCGAATTTGGAAGATGACGTAAAAACAACGAAGGGATTCAAGGCGCATCGGATTGCCGCGTCGGCTGTGCGTGGAGTGAAAGGCGCGGCGTGTGGAGTGAAAGGCGAGACGGATGGCTTCGCTGCTGCGAGAGGAGGAAGACACAGAAGGAATGTACGGGACGAATGTGTACGGCACTCCACTGCTGCACGAATGGCGCGGCGTGCTGTATTTAGGGTTTTACCTGCGCAATTGCAATACAGTCCAACTGCGACGACAGGCACAGATACACGGAACTACAAATCATTCGGGGAGAAAAACTCTCGTCACAAGTGAAGTTACATCGATCGCACTAGGCGGCGCCGCCGTCACAAGTAGAACCGGAAGATCGCATATGCTCGCTAGAATATCGACTGTCACCCCAGAGGAGCGGTAAGGTGCTGATGATGCTATATGGTGTGCCGGTGCTTTCCATTATTGGGGGCGACAAGGCGTCCGGGGACTCAAGACGTCCGGGGACTCAAGACGTCCGGGTGTTAGCGCCAACTCCAACCGCCAGTGGATTATCCGTAATGATAAAAGATGCGAGGATGTCAGTTGGTCAGTGAAAGTTAGAAAACGGTGGCATGCGGCCTGGTAAGTTGAAAACGCCGATCGTCTAACTGCCCAGTCTGCTGCATAGTGAAGGACTGTGCGGCCACAATTAACCGACACAATAGCGGTAAGCTCAGGCGGCTCGGAAGCCCTTGACATCATTCAGTGTCCATATAGGTGGCTTCGCTGGCATGGGGACCCGCCCCGCCAGCGCATGTGAAGGTTAGCGAAATGTTCGTTGAGGCTCGACGGATCGAAAGAGGCCGGGCAATTGGCGGTGTTGGAAAAGAGACCTCAAATTTAGGAATCCTCTCCAAGAGTGTCGTAATATGGACAGCAGAGGCCTATTTCCTTACAGCGATGGATCGCAGCTCGTCCGAACGGAGCCACGGTGTCAAGATACTCGTCGCGCCTCCTAGGCGAGATGCAGAGCACGCACATAAGAAATGAATAGGAGAAGTATTACATGGAAAGATACGAAATGACCTCGTGTCACTTAGAGAGATCGTTACATTCGAAAGAACGCGGTCGCTTGGGGTTTACATGTCGAAGGTACTTAGGCTGCATGAATTTATAAGGGAATGAAGTGAGGAGCGTTACGTGTTTCTGCCAAGGCAGCTTGCTACAATATGGGTTTTGCGGTTTGTTGGATGCGTATCGCATTCGGGTCGGTCGTTGGGATTTTGCACTTTTGGTGGCCAGTAAAAAGCGAACTTACGAACAGCTATAAGATATATAACCTCTCATTCCTGCTTCCATGACTTCTTTATGCTGTTCAGCGAGCAGAGCCCGAAAAGTGGACCCCTTAGGGCGCCTCCCTGGAGTGCAAAAAATATCCGGGCTGCAGGACACCTGGGTTCACTTCACTGTTGGCGCGTCGAACGGCTAAACTACTGAGCTTGGTCAAGTTGTACTCCTTACACCGAACCAACGACGTAATTGAGATTTAAGAAGGACGCGTGCTCAGGAATTGATAGTTCGCCGGAAGCGCTCACTTGTGCAGCTTTGGGCGCTTTGGGCGCTTTGGGCGCTTTGCAATGACGGTTCTAGCTGATGATGATGGGCGTGGCTGCAAGGCGTCTGCAGGTGCGTGGCGAGATTCGCGCTCAGGGTCTACCACTCTACGGCGCTTTACCACAACGCTTGTGCCTTGGCGCTGGCGCTTTTGCATGTCTCAAGCGGATGCGATTGATGTTGTATCTTTTGTTAACAAGTTTTGGCTTTTCCGTGATGGCTCATCGTCGGGACTCTACGGACGGTCTCGTGCTTCGCGACTGCCCTCGGTTGACGGGCTTCTTGCGGTTGTTGCCTTACTGCAGATGCCAGCAATGCAGTACACGAAGACTCCGATCAGGCTGAGGCGCCCACTAACGCAGCGCCCACTGTTACACGCGTGCCACTTCACGGCCCCGTGGACACCTACGATGTCATGTGTGCGAAAGTGATTTTTGCGCTCTGCGGCAGCGTCTTTCCACATCCTCTTTTACTTGCTCAACAGTTACTTGGCATCGAAGATCAAGATTTTCCAGAGTTCCAGCTGGTGAGTGGTTAGAGGGAGAAGTGTTGTATTTCCTCGTCTAACTTCCTCCTTCAGGCTGCCTATCGCGCTGACAATGAAGTTCGAAGTGAAATTTTGTATGGATTACCATAGAGCGAAGGTTGCCTTTGACCAGGACTGCTGGGCACAGTTGGCAGCAGTCTTCGCCTCGGCAATCGCTCTACCCTGCGTGAAACTGGTATACGCTATCGACGCTAACCTGCGTTACATGTTCTTTTTCCCTTTACTACGTCACAGAGCGTCGCGGAGGCGGGCAACAACTGCGTAGATATTGTTGCAGCCTACCTTACAAACCTCCGTGTCATGCAACAGGAAGAGGATCCCAACCCCCCCGTCTCCCTCGCAATGATCCAGCCACGCCACGCTGCGACGGTTGCTTCCGTCGCAGCTAAAGCTCGTGACCTGTTGTCTGAGCTTGCACTCGCGCGCGCCACTGTAAAGCCCCGCAAGGCTCCCAAGAACAAAGCCATCGAGTCTGCGGCACGCGCAGCTGCGGCAGCCGCAGCCACGGCTGTCTCGTCCTCCAACCCAACCACCACAACAACCGCCACCAACTCCACATCCCAAATACCAAGCGCCGCTGGATCTACAAACAGCTCTATGTCTTCAAGCTCCACTTCAGAGACAAGCGCGACAAGCAGCGGCTGCAGCTCCAGTGTTAATGCAGACGTCCTGGTTTCGGAGTCGCCATCGGATGCGGCCATCAACGCCTATTGCTGTGAAATGGACGCTGATTACGGCGGATGCGAGACCCTGGCCGAAGACTCATCTGGAAGCAACAGCAGCTGCTACAGTGGCGGCGGTTACGAAGTGGGCGGCGGTCATCAGGACACGTCCAGGCTAGGTGACGCCGACGCACCTCGCACGGTACGGGAGGAGGAGGAGCGGTTGCTGTTCGCGCTGCAGGGCCCAGCGGCCGCGGAAACACTCAAAGTGGTTCGTGCGAAACCCGCAGGTAGGGTACTCTACTAGGTTGCTATCCCGTGAAACAACCCAAATCAGTATCCGGCCCCTGCACCTTTCAGAACTGTAGGAGCCTTGTATGTATGTCGGCGATGTTGTTGGCTTTTTGGTTCTTTTGGATGAATCGTATCTTATGGTGACTTCCCATGACCCCACCATCACCGCAGTCACCATCCTCGCAGTGCTCTTCTTCTTCTTCTTCTTCTTCTTCTTCTTCCTCTCGTTCCAGTGTCCAGCCGCAGTATGTGTACCACATCTTAGTAATTATCTCAACGCTGGGTTGAGATCCCTGATATGGAGATTGGATTACGGCAAGGGCGGTGTGCGTCGTAATCCCATTCACGCTGTCGTCCAATCGTCTTGTTGTACAATGTCGTCCTCCCGCAGGCGGCAAGACTACGGCGGCTGGTATTTCGCTGGCGGCGCCGTCACAGGATAGTCGCGCTGGGCCTTATGGTGGCGGGCCTGCGGCTAACAGCCAACAAACAACCACCTCAACCACCAACAGTCCCGGCAACCACCAATCTAACCACCACACGGCTAACAACATTCAGAGCCCAGCCATGTCCAACAATAACAGCCAACCCTCTACCCCAACCAACAACGGCAACGCCGCGTCCGCGACTGCCGTACACTCGACCCACGCCGCTGTCGCGCCCGGTGCCTCCTCCGTCGGCTCCTCAAGCTGCGTTAGCGCGGCCGCCGCCGCCGCCACTGCAGCGAGCAGCAGCCCGCGGGCATCTGCCCCGCCGCCTCCACCTCCCATCCGTTCAGCCTCCACCGCGGCTCAGTTCGCCATTGGGCAGGGCTCCAGCCCCACGGCCGCCGGTAGCGGCAACGGTAGCGGAAGCCAGGTAGCACCTCCGCAACGCCGCAGTCAGGAAATCAGTAGTGGCAATAGCCACGGTGGGGCTGCGGGACGTGGAGCTGGCAGCAGCCATTCAGGCTCGGCGCTGCATACGGCACTCTCCTGCCCCGTCAGTGGATTGCAAGACGCGCTGGCCTCGACGGGGGCGGCGGCAGTAACGGTGCCGGCCTTGGGCTCCCCGCTGCCCGGCGCTGTCGCCGGCCATCTAAACGTCAGCAGCGGCGTCCACGCAAGCAACTTACCTGGCGAGGTATCGAACAACCACCACAACGGTATCAACGGAAACAACCAGGGCCAAGGCCATGGACGGAGCCAGCGGAGGAGTGGCGGCCAGCAGAATAATGCGGCGGCGGCGGCGGGGAGCGTTAACGGACGAGTTGGCGGAGGTGGTGGCGGCGGAGGTAGCAGGCGGAATAATGGTGGCGGCGGCGGCGGCGGCGGCGGCGCCTCGGGGCCCGTGGGCGGTAGCTGCAGTGCACGTGCGGCGCCCTCCACGTCACCTGCTTCAATACAACACCTTCATGAACAGCAACAGCACCAGCAACAACAGCAGCAGCAACAGCAGCAGCTTGCCGTCGCGCATCTGCTAGGTCTTCGTGCTTCGTACGGCAACAACACGTACGGAAATTTGGTCGCGCTCCAGGGCGCCGCTCTCGTCAACGCGGCGGCAGCCGCGGTGGCCGCTGGCGGCTTAGCACCCTTTGCCGGCGCCGCCAGCCCCTCCGCCAGTGCCGCTGCTACTGGCCGCATGGATGCCTTGAACCCACTGAACTCTGTTGCCGCCACGACTGCGGCGCTCGAGCTGGCGGCGGCGCAGCAGGCGCTTAGTGCTGCCGCTGCCAACGGCATGCACCATTTGAACTCCCACATGGGGTTTGGAGCAGCGGCCGCTGCGGCGGCGGCGGCGGCGGCGGCCGCCGGATTTGGCGGTCAAGCCGCCGCCATGCAAGCCGCCGGCCTCGCCTCGAGCCAGTTCCAGTTGGGATCTCCGAGTCAGTTGAGTGGTTCCGGAGCCCCCGGTTTGGGTGGTTTAACTTCGGCCGCGGCGGCAGCGGCGTTGATGCAGCAGCACCACCACAATCACCATCACCACCACCAACAGCCGCATCATCAGCAGCACAGCCATCAGCAGCAACAGCACGCGGCCGCGGCGGCAGCGGCGGCGGCGCTGCTGCAAAGCGGCGGCTGTGGTGGGCTGTTCATGGCGGCAGCGGCGGATTCCATGAAGGGCGCAGCGGGGGCGGCTGCTGCGGATTGGGGTGACATGTTTCTCCAAGCTCAGCTGGCAGCTACAGGATCTCTGTAACTTGTGTAACTACTACAAAAGAAAAGCAAGAGGGGAGTTTTCTTTTTGTGTCTGCTCCAACTGCCACCAACCGCGAACAGCTGAAGGCTACCTCACTCTCCAGGAGCAGGAATTGTCGCTCTCCCCGCCACATGCTGATGTGCGCGTCACAGGCTGTGGCCGCTGATGGGCGCTTGCGCATGCCGAAAACGCGCCGACGCGGCAGGCGGCTGTTACATTCTACTTTTCCTTCTACTTCTCCCCTCCTCCTGCCACTGCCACGCTGCGAGGCACATCTTGTGAGGTGAGGTGTGGAAGTGAAGGGGATACACTGGCGTCGGTGGCGACGTCGGCGCACAGCCGTAACACACACACGTTCGTGACACGGAAGAGCTGAGCGCACATTCGTACTGTGGCAGCGATGCTGTACGGCAAAGCCATTCAGTTCATTAAGATGGCTTTTCCTTGAGAGGTAATGTCTGCACGGTGATGCCACAGAGGTGCAACGACGCCACCTTTCGTTCAGTGCCGTGGTGTGTGGAGGAGGGGGTCAGACAGACTGCCGGGGATGCCGATATGTCGTCAACGGCGGTATCAACGGAAGTCATTAACGAAAATCGACGTCCTAAGGTCGCCTTTAACCGGAAGCGGCGGCGGCGATTTCCTTTTGGCAATTGGAGAATCTTATTCTCTACTTCAAAACTCACTTACCTTGGGAAGGGAAGGGAAGGGAAGTAAGGGAATGCATGTAGGGAGTGGAGGGTAGCGCCAGCGCCAGCGCTTGCTCGCATATGGAGATTCAGGTTTAAATCCAGATCCAGATTGGCATTCAGAGATAGAGCAGGGATGGTAGGAGGGAAGTCACTTGTCGAGTATGGGCATGCGGCATCTCTGAAAGATGGCCCCGGGGTGGGTTCCGGAGCCGTTGAGGAGGAGGAGGGTATTTGATGTGCTGCCGGTCCGAATGGGTGTGGGGGGGGGGAAGAGGAGGAGGAAGGAAAATTGGGTGGGTGGGGGCCCTCATCCCTCCCCATATGCCTACCGCCCTCCTCACACTCCCTCTCCCTTTAAAATTGTGTCAGCTGTGTCGGCTGACCAGAGCACTTTCGCAGCTTCTGAGGGTCGCGCATGCGGAGGCTTGCCTACCATATTTCTGTCCAGTGTGCGTGTGTGTGTGCGTGTGTGTGTGCGTGTGTGTGTGCGTGTGTGTGTGTGTGCCTGTGTATGCGCGTATGATGCGCGTATGAAACTGCTGTCGGTCGCGAGGTGTTGGCGCGTTGTGTTTTCTGTAGGAGGTGTTCAAGTGCGAGGGCGCGTGTTCGGGCGGTTCTGTCTGTACGGCAAGTACGGCGAACGTGGCGATTGAGGAAGCAGAGACGATGTGATATGATATGATATGATGCGACGTGGATGTACGGAGGTGTGTTTGCTGTACGGATGTGGCCGCGTTCCATCAATTACCCGCGTCCTTTTTTGGGGATCAGCGAGTTTTTTGCGGTCAGTCGTAGTTTTGTGTGTGGGCCAGTTTTGTTTCTCGGTGTCGCAATGCTCCAGTGCTCTCAGAAGGTCGCCAATTGTTTGAGATCGTCATATTACATACATACATACATACATATCCAAGCCCACGGTCCGAGCCCCTACCCCCTTATTTTCCTTTTCTGTACCTCACCCTCTTTATCCATCTTTTCTCTTTCCTTTCATGTCGCCTCTGCCGTCCAAATGTCGCCACATCTCGTGGTGCGTTTTCGGAGAGGGGATGTACGAGTGTTGTACGGGTGTACGACGCAAGGAGGAAAGAGCAGGGGAGGAAGGAAAGAGCTAGGGAGCGGGGGGGGGTTAGGAAGGGAAGGATTCCCAGACGGAGCGAGTTGTGCAGTCCAGGGAGGCGGTCCGGTGCGGGCTTATGTTTGGAGGGCAGGTGGGGGGGGGCGGAGCTCGCGTGCTTTCGCCAGCGGCAGCAATATACCAGCTGCACTGCAACTCGGCTCGGAGCACGTTGCTTCGTCGAGCCGTAAGCAAAAGCGGTGTGCTTTCCATTTGCGTATTTTCATCAAATAGTACGGTAATAGTAGTCGTCCAGTTTGCTGCGTTTTGAAGGAAGGAGGAGAAGGAAAAGGATTTTGGAAAATCAGACGTACCACCACTCGTCAATACGCATTGCCCACCTAACGAGGGCTTAATCAGGATCGGAAGATATGATTCTGATGCCCATAAGGTCGGCATTTTTGTGTACGACAGGATATGATGCCGTACACTCGTACGCGTGTACGTCATGTGCCCACTCGTGTCGTCGACCCCAGAGAGAGCTTATAACGGTTTTTGGGGGCACAGTAGCTGTAGTCTCTGCGACTGCGGCTGCCAACGGCTTGACATTGGCGGTACTATCCACCACCATCCACCACCATCACCATCACCACCACCCCGGCTGCCAACCACTATTTTCAAGGTTTTTTACCATCTCCCCACAACTAAACACGGGCAACTTTCCGTCCGCCGCACACTGATACTAGTAACGACAACGACACCGCTTTGTCATGAAGCAAACGGCCGGAAAGGCTCTTTTTACTAGTATCTTTTGAAATATATCTGTGTGTGCTTCTTGTACGTGGAAAAAGTTTTCGTCAATATGTTTCTACGGAGTGAAAATGTCTCTCCTGTCTCTCCACCCCCCGAGGTATGTTCAGCGCGGTGAGGTCGGGTTGCAGACCAATTTATGCCGGTTGCGCGTTTGTGTGTATGTATGTGTGTATGTATGTGTGTGTGCAAATGGAGATGGGCAATGCGCGGATGGTGGCGGCTTTATTGGGAGTTGCCGGTACGGCAGCCACATTCGGGTTGGTGCCGTACAAAGTTCTGGAAGCATTTATGTCCGAATTACCGGCCCGGGCGGTGAGCGCGCTTGGTTGGTGGTTGCACGCATATGTATGCTTTGCCTTGTCGCCGACCGAACCGCCGGTTTTCATGTATGCCAGTATGTCGGTAGTTGGTAGTTGGTGGTATGCGAGGGAGGCCCCTGGCTTAGCTGTGGGAGCTTATTGGGTTTCGGAGCGAGTTTGAGACGATGAACGGACGCTTGAAGGAGTGGAGGAAAAAAGTGGGAGAGAAACAACAACGGGAGAGAAGAACAAAAGCGGTAAGGCGCAAGTGAGGTGTTGGATAGCAGGAGAGGAGAGAGGCTGTGGCAATGACGAGCCCGCGCCAACGTATGTACGGCACCGTTTGTGGTACTGTTGGGCGGTCCCGACATTCGTCACGACTCTCGCTTCGTCGTTCTGATCTTCCCTCCCTTTGGTTCGGTTGGAGGTTGGAGGTTTGGAGGTTAGGCGAGTTGGTTAGTCGGAGCGGTGGGAAGTAACGGAGAGGTGTTGAAAGGGGAGGGACTCCTGCATCGCCTTCGCGCTGAGCTGGCGTTCAGTTGGTAAGAGGTATACGAAGGTGGTTAACTGGTTGGTTGGTTGGTTGGTTGGAAACTCCTTTACCCCTTAGTCCGACGGGTCATGTCCCTCACGTATTGGTGAATGGCCATGGCTGACCGTGAAATGAGGGCGGGGGTAAAATAAGGAGAGATAGCGTGCTGGCTGACGTGGTGTCTGGCTGTGTGAGTTTGCGGCGCATTGGTGCTGGCATGTAGGAAACGAGACGGCCGACGGTGGGTTCTGCGTTCCCGATCTCCTCCCTCATCTCCCGATGTTTTGTCCTACATGCCTGCTGATGGCCAAACCTCCGCTTTTTCCTCCTCCGCCCCATCCCATTCGGTGTGGCTGTGGCAGCAACCTGGCGCGTTGTGGTGTGGTGTGGTGTGGTGTGGTGTGGTGTGGCGTCGTCTGTGTACCGAGGCAGCATGATGCGATGTGTCCTAATTTGAAAAGATGTGTGTTTTTATATAGGGGGTAAGAGGGTCGGCATGTAGGCAGCATGATGCGACGCACGCACGTAGGCATGTATGTATGTCCTTTTGCGCTTACTGCAAAAATGTGTCCCCGCGTGTTTCGGAGCTCGTATGGTTTTCTTTGGGGTGTGTGTGTGTAAGGAGTGTGTAGAGGCTCTCTAGAGGCTCTCTAGCTTGGCCGGTCTGTGAAGTTCAGGGTGGCCCATTGTTAATGACCGCGGAGGGGAGCCGAAAAGATGTCGTAGAGGAGAAGCTTTGGGAGAGGCGAAGAGGCGTGTGTACGGGGATGCCGTACGAGGCGAAGAGGCGTGTTGAGACGAGGCGAAGGACAACGTGGAGGAGGATGCTGTATATGTGATGTGATGTCATGCCATGTACTGCAAACGGACAGGATTGCAATGCAATGCGAGAGAGATGGAGGTGAGGCGACGATATTACGGAGACGGAGGCGAAGCGGTGATCGGGATATATATCGATATCACGCTGCCAAACGGGAGATGTCACAGGTTGGTTTCTTTAATGTTTGGGTGTTTTGAAAACCCTAAGGAATCGTGTCCAGTCGTGTCGTAACTATACAAATAAATGCCGTACGATGTGTGTGCGAGTGCGTGCGTGCGTGTGTGTGTATGCATGCGCGATTTTGGCGCAGAGAGAGCAGGAGAGGTGGAAGAACGGCGCGCGGGCGCACGCCCGCACTTGCGCCCGGTGCGCAGCTTTCACGGACCTGCTTCGTTGTGCTTCTTTGCTGTTCTTCCGGGGGCACAGAAGCGCGGGGCACATCGGTTGAGGATGGGATGGGATGGGATGGGAGGAAAAGCCAACCGCCAGTAGCACACCGTCACCGGGCTGCTAAGCCATTTTCCGCGGGGCCGAGGCTGTGGCTGTGGCTGTCCGCGCAGCTCACTGTGCAGTGCTCATAACGACAGATCAACAAAAAGAGAAGACGAAGATGACAGTGTGTGGGGCGATATTGTTGGTATACTATGCGTTAAGAAGATATGGTTAATGCCACGCTTCTCTCCGTACACTGGCCCCTCGTGATGTCGTACACTGGCCTGGTGGTGATGTCGTACGCATTGGTGAGGGGGGTGGTGTGGCGTGTCTCAACGAAAGCTAAAGCGGTCTAGGAGGA